CGCCGCCCGCAGCACGCACTGCGCCGCCATGTCGCGAGGCGGCGGCGGACACTGCGCCTGCGCGCCGCCTCTGGGAGCGAGAGCGGGAGCGGCGCGTCCCGTGCGCGACGGGCTGCTGCGGGTGTGGGGAAGGAGCTGTGTGCGCGCCTCTGCTGTGTGCGCGCCGGGAGCCGACGTGCCGTGCTTTCTGTGCTGTGCTGCGGGGACGTCAAACGCATTGAGAGAAGACTGGCCAAGAATAGGAATCTTTGGATTGCACAGTGTATACAGGCTGTCATAAAGTAATTCACGTTGGAAGAGCACTCGGGGAATATCTGTGCTGAGAACGCATACGTGTCAGACCCACAAAGCGTTTACCCAAAGGAGCAAGTTCATCATTCTCTGCAAGAACAGCAGCTCAAGGCGTGCATAAAAAAGCAAAGTGAATATTGGCTATGATTATTAAGTCATAGAATCATAGAATCACAAGATTGGAAAAGACCTTGGAAAGCCTGGTCTGGTATTAAAGGTGGAGGTTGGTGGCCCTGCATGTGGCAGGGGGTTGGAGATTCATGATCCTTGAGGTCCCTTCCAACCCTGGCCATTCTGTGATTCTGTGACCTGCAAGATCTTCCAGTCCAGCCAGCCTCTTACTACACTGCTCCCACAAGCACTGAACCACATCTCACAGCTCCTCATCCAGGCATCTCTTGAACACTGCCAGGGACGGCGACTCCACCACCTCCCTGGGCAGCCATTGCAGTGCCTGACCACTCTGAGGAAAAAGTTCTTCCTTATGCCTAACCTAAAACTCCTCTGGTACAAGTTATGGCCATTCCCTCGGGTCCTGATCCCCCTCAAATGTAATTTGGTGATAGGGGCGAAAGGATTTTGAGGCCAAATCAAGCTGCAAGAGGGCTCTGCACCACAAGAAAACAGCCTCCTGCTATTCCATGTCTCTGTGTTTGGGCAAGCACAGTAATTAATGTGTGTTTTTAGAACTAGAAGTAGTAAATAAAGCCCAGCTCCATCATTAGTTTGTAGCCCCATAAGAAACAACCCAAAGTCACAGATGTTGGTTATTAACTCAGAATAACAGAGGTGTGTAAGAAGTAAATGCTTATTCCTGGGGAAGGATGTACAGCAGCACTCTCAGTAAACCGAAATGAAGCCATGGAATATACACAGAGTTGGACAAGTATTTCTACATTAGCAGTTTGGCTCAGATTCAGCTTGAATATTTAGTGCCAATCCCAGGACATCGCTACATGCTTTGCACCGTTCCAAACCAGAGTGAAGAGAAAGTCCCATTCCAACAAACTGCACTCCTGAAAGCTAGGTGCTGAGCCAGCTCATGGCAAGGATAAGCTGGGGCTTCACAGGCATCAGCAGACCTCAGGCAAGATAGAAACCCAAAACTGGATTTACAAACATTAAAGACAGGAGTGACTGCTGTGATCAATGTCAGACATACCATACGACGTTTTATCACTATCAAATACTGCTGTTATGTTGTTTAAAACCAAGAACTTGATATTCTTTTTCTGATGTGGTAAATAATGAGTCTGTCCTGGTTTTTCAAAGAATCTGTTAGAAGACCTCAGAGTAAAGATGCAGTGTTCGTCAAGGAGTAACTACAAAGTTTCTATTGAAATAGACAGTGGTGGTCTTCCAAGTTCAAAAATAAGAAAAAGCAGCAGGGGCATTAGCAACCCAGCTGTCTGCAGGCAGAGGATTTTTTGCTAGGTCCAAAAGGTCAGGAATGTGTTGGTTGAAGAAAAGCTGCACCAAGGGCATATGGATCTAAGAAGTCACCTTAAGAGTAGCGTGTACTTGTCTGAAATTAAAGCAGTCAAAAAAATGAGTAAAACCAGGGTTTTCCAGCAGTTTTTCTGTCCCATTTACAGCCAAGATCCAAAGGAAAGAGGTCAGAATCCCTGCTTTAATAATAATAACAACTACTAAGTTAAAAAACAATCTTGCACGAGCTTTTATAGGGCTTTTCAACACCACAGCTCAGTGACCAGCTGGGAAGATAACCAAAGAGGGAGGGAGCAGAAGTTCAGTATTTATGCAGCCGTCAGACAGATTTTTGATTTCGGGGTCCTGCTGTAATTTGGAAAGGGTGACCATCCCAAACTGGCTAGCACACATAAGAGCTAAACAAGGATAAAGGGGCATTTTGTCCAAATTGAGAGAAGAGCTGAGATTTTTCTGGCATTCACAGAAAACAAGAACTCTGAGCCTAAAGTAACAACAGCTGATTTTGGATTTGCGGCACCGTGTTTGCCAGAGGAGAGCAGAGAACTTGTATTTCTTTGTTTGGCAACACCATTAAAAAAGGAAACTGCTTCAGTGAGGAGATTGACAGCTGCGAGTTCTATCAGTGCTGTTCTGCATCTAATATGTATGTTGGAAATCTGCTTTGTGACATTTTTCAAAGATATGTAAACATTTATTTCTTACAACAGCCACAATATACTGTCTGCGCATAAAGCTCATTTGAATACCATGTGAACAATAACCAAAAAAGATCCTGGTGCCAAATTAGAACAACTATTAGGCCATGCATGTTCACATACCTGGAGAGAGGAGGCTGCAGTTCTATCCAGTCACTTAGTTTCAGATTTGTGAAGCACTGGGAGAGCAGTTGTCCACCACAGGAGAAAACTTGTGCCGAATAATAAATGCTGGGGAACACGTCCTGCAAATTCAGTCTGTGCAAATTCCTTTTAACACATCACCCAGGTGAAGTTAATGAATTGTGGGTGACTGGTTTGGACACAACAACAGGCACAATCCATAGCAATAGCAGGTGGTTTTGTAGTGAGATCATTGGTACCTTAAAATTATTGGGGAATATTTATTGTCAAGTTCCTCCTGTGGTTTATAGAAATAGGATGTCCCTAGACATGGCACTGTACATATGAACGCTGAGGAGGTAAAAATTCCTAGAGAGAGATCTTGAGGTTAGAGCAGTAAGCATCCGGAATGCCCTTGGAACATATGACCAGCCTGGAATGACATATGAGAATGGTTTTGAAAGCAGGAGAAAATGGTCACAAAGGGAAAGTCTACCATTCATTGACAAATGTGAGATGAGGTAAAAACAATGGAATATCTTCAGTTCGTTCCAATTGCTTTGGGGCAAAATGCAATGTTAGTCTTTCTTAGAAGCTGCGGGGGGATTTGCCATTGTTTCTTTCTTACATAGTTACTGCGATTCAGTATTTATTACTGTTTGCTTTGGTTTGTTTATTCATTAATAAGATCAGCTCAGAAAACAAGCACCCTTATGTTAGCCTGTGACTATTACAATCAATGCAGTCTTATCTGCTCTTCATGATGTCTAGAATGCGATGACACAGATAGAAACATCAAACAAGCAAGCAAGTTTGCCACTGGTCCCCTATTTTTCTGAAATACACCCATTGCTGCACAGGCTTTCAGAAGCAGTATACGTGGTGACTTTTTTTATATATTTTTTTTTATTATCATTTCTCTTTTCAAGTGATTTACTAAATAAATTAGTTTCCTGTAAGGAAGCATGCTTTAAAATATACCATTTTCACAGCAGAAGGATCTCCTGACACAGGGAGCTCCTTCATCACCTCGTGTTTTATATAACATTTACGATGAGCCATCCACTGAGAGCTAAACAGTTATTCTGTGCAAGTGCTGTATCAAAGTCAAAAGCTTTAAACTATAGCCTATGAACTCCATCAAACTCAGAGATCTGTACTAATGGCCTAAGTTCTGGAGTGTTAGTTTTAGTAGTTTCTAACCTAATCTGTCTAGTTCTTCCCAAATGCAGCCATGGGCAGAATTTTGACAGCAACTGGAAAACGGAACAATATCCCTATTCTAACCTTATTCAGATTCATATTCCACTGAAAAAATGCTGTAAGTCAAAAGATCAGCACTCGAGCTCAGACTGTAAGTGACCAAATAATGCAGTGACCCATGACCACAGGCTGAGTGATCAGTTGGGCAGCTGTGCTGAGCGGCAGGGACAGACCTTGTGGCAGCCTGTCAGCTCTCCTGAAGAGAAGGCACTTGTTTGTTGTCCAAGACCAAGGAATTTGGTATGTTGAAAGCACCAGCTTCAAATATTTTGAGCTGATTTTCAGAGACGTGTAAAACACACATGAACTTTTTACTTGCCTATTTTTCCTTCCTCTTTTTGAACTACTATTCTCAGTATATTTTCTAAATAAATGCCTGATCTGTCCTCTTTTGGACCCTCTACTCCTTTTCCTAGATCTCCGTAAATAATAGTTTTGGGTTTTTTTCCCCCAGTAGGAAGTAGAATCTACTTCTTGTACTCAAAGTCTCCTAAGGCGGATGGGTTGATGGAGAAGAAAGATGCAGCATAGAAGTAAAACCACAGCAGCTGAAAACGCAAGCAACATCACACAGCACACCTCCCTCTTCACCCTTCTCCCAGGAGAGGAAAGGTAAAGGCTGTTTGCACTGGTATATGAAATAGTGCGAGTGTTCAGGGCTCATTCAACACTGAGCGCACTCCACTGGCTGAACAGGTGGGCAAGAAGTGCCCCAAGGCCAGGTGCCCCATCCCTGGCACACACGTCTGCTGCCAGGGACCTCTCATGTACACAGGCATATGGTTTGGGGAGTTTGGCACTGTGGGATGCAGAGAGGTCCGTATGAGAACATTCCTGGTGTTGAATGCTACTCAGTTTGTTGGCTTGGTTCAGCACATGAGATGCATAGAGGGGAGAGTTGGAAAAAGAACCAGGCGCTTGGCAGGCAGCAATGTATGTGGGCTGTGCTGTGAAACGAGGGTCGGGACTGATTGTGTGCACGGAGTAACGGCTGTGTGCTGGGGGCCACGAGAGAGGAATAGGTGCAGACATTGATGTAGGAGCACGCCGAGGGGGGGTGTGCGAGACAGCGTCAAGGAACAGAAAAGGATCAGCGGAACCCCTCGGCTGTCTCTGTACGGGCAGCTCTGCGTGAGCGTGCGTGGGGCCAGCGGGGGAGAGGAGAGATGCGAGCAGATGGCGTGCGAAGGGCCGAGCAGCGGCACGGAGAATGGCGCCGGCAGCGCTGCCAACAGGAGCCGGGGACGAGCGGGACGGCCGCTTCCTTCGGGGGGCGGTCACGGAATCCTAGAATCGCTCAGGTTCGAAAAGACCCTCAAGGACCATCGCTTGGTACCGCGGAGCACCGAACGCGGCCCGCAGGAGCCCCGCCGGGCCGCGAACACAGAGGCGGGGCCAGTTCGCGTGTGCAGAGCGCCGAGGGGCGGCGCCCGCCATGACGCGGCACGGACGTTCGCGGCCGGGCGGCACCGCCGCCCCGGGAGGCGCAGGCCGGGCGCACGGGAAGGTCTGAGCGCGCGGAGCGCTGCCGGCGGCCGAGCCCCGACCCCCGACCGCGGGGCGGCGGAGCGGTGGGGCGACTGTCGCCGGGCCGCCGTTAAGACGCGCGCTCGCTACCGCGCTCCCACTCAGGGCGGCGCCGCGCCCGGGCCGAGGGCGGCCCCGCTCCCCGCTGCGGGCCGCGCTGCCGGGCTCCGCCAGAGGGCGCCGCTCTCCCCGCTCTTCCCCCCTCCCCCCCCGTCGGGATGGGCCCCCGCTGCGGGAGGGAAGCGCGCCGGGCGCGCATGCGCAGTGCCGGGCGCTAGACGGCAGCGGCGATGGCTCCGCAGTGACGGTTGGATCTAACGGTTGCTATTGACATTGCGGCGAGGATCGGGCGGAGGACCCTCACCCCGCGAGCGGCGCCCGGCCCGCGGCCGCGCAGCCTGCAGCCACCGGCCCCGCGGAGAAGGCCGCGGCGATGCGGCCGCGCTGAGGCCCAGGTGCATCCGCCTCCCTCCCTCCTTCCCTCCCTCCCCCGCCGCCGGAGCGGGCAGCGCGGCCCGGCCCGCCGCCGCCCTGAGCTGCCTTCGCGGTTCCTCCCTGCGGCCGTCGCCATGCGGGGCCGCCGCTGAGGCCGCGCCCGCGGGGAGAGCAGCAGGGCCCGGCGGAGCATGGCCCGCAGCCTGGCGTAGCGCCGCCGCCTCCCTGCGCCGCGGGCGGGCCGAGGCCGCCGCCGGGAGCGAGGCCCCGCGGGAGGCGGAGCAGCGGCAGCAGCAGCCAGCGCGGGCCCCGTGACAGGGCCGAGGCCGCCGGGCCTCCGCGCCGCCGCCGCCGCGCGGCTCCGGGTGGCCCCGCAGCGAGGTGACACCCCCGGCCCGGGGCCGCCCGCCCCGCCGCCCGCACGGACTCGGCGCCGCGCGTTCTTCTCACTCCGGAGGCGGCGGCGTGCGAGCGGCTGCGATGAACCCGGTGAATGCCACTGCTCTCTACGTTTCCGCGAGCCGCCTGGTGCTCAACTACGACCCGGGGGATCCGCAGTCCTTCACCGAGATTAACAAGCTCCTGCCCTACTTCAGGCAGTCCCTCTCCTGCTGCGTGTGCGGTGAGGACCTTTCTTTTGTTCCCTGCACAATGCGGGCCGCGGCGCGGAGCTCCGTCGGATCCGGGGCGGGGGCGGGCGGCGGGCCGGGCCGTGCCGTGCTGGGCCGGGCTGTACTGTGTTATGCCGTGCCGTGCTATGCTGTGCCGCGCTGAGTTGTGCCGTGCCCTGTTATGCCGTGCTGAGTTATGCCGGGCTGCGGGCGGTCCGGTCGCAGAGGGCGGTAGGACCATCATTAGCGGCTGTGGGAACGGCCCGCTGTAGCGCAGCTAATTGTTTTTAAGGAGAGGTGGCTGAGGACGAGCGCGAGGAAAGGTGCTCGAGACACAGCGTAGGGGCAGGGAGAACTTCTGGCTTTCCGTTTTCGCTTTTCGTGCTTTACGTTTCAAGGAAAAAGAAACAAACAACGTAGATTGAGAGGTAGGAATTGTAAGCGCCCAGGAACAACGCTTGGATTGCTTTTGTGCACGGCAGGTAATTATACTGCCTGGACAACCAGCGCGACAAGCCAGGCCGGGAGCTGCCAGGCTACCCCCGTTTCCTTCCTTCCCCCAAAAAGGCAGAAGGCTTTTCTTCTGCCTTTCGGGAAGGGTCCGCACCCGGGGCTGCAGGGCTCTGCGCGAATCCGAACCGCTGCGTTCCGAGCGGTGAGCTGTGAGCGCACCGAGCCTCTGCCGGGCGCTGCTGTCCGCTGCTGTCCTGAGGCCGCGGCAAGCCCTGCTGCTGAGCTTTTGGATCTCCTGGACAGGCCGTGCTTCTGGCCTCTCCGGTTGCTTCTGTTTATCTGTGCTAATATGTGGTCGCACCAATTTAACTGAATTACCGGAGTGTACAAACTTAGCCGTTTTATTTATTTACAGCCGCCGTTGGGGCTGTTAAGCGAGTCGTGGAGGCTTCCCGTCCTGTAGCGGTAGCTCCTCCCATTTAAAGTCTTAGAAAATAGAGCTCGGTTTGTGCGGGGAAAGGAGCTCGTTCGCAGGCTCGCTGCGTCGTCATTTCCTGAAATAATTTGCCCAAGTGTTTTTTTTCTTTTCCTCGTGGAACTCTGATGTCGATATGATTGCAACTCTGCTCTTTGTCTCTGGTGCCTTGCCTTCAATTCTGTTACTTCATATCCCTACTTGTGTCTTTTCCCATAAATTGTTACTGCTTTTGCTCACTTAACTGATGGCTTTTGCTTAAAAATAGTATTTTTGGTTTTTTTTCTTAAGATACTAACAGAGGGATTATGTGTTTCTAACTACTGTGCTGTCTGAACTTCCCACGTTAAAACTACTCTGAAACACGTTCTTTCCTCTCCATGCCTTGACTTCTTCCCTTAGTGGCCTTCTGCAGTCTTGTTTTTGCACTCTATGTTATTGAAACTGTCTATCTTTAATTTGTCCCTGCCCAAATCCCCAGGCTCCTTTTCCCCCCTCCAGCATTTCTTGCATGGCTTTTTTGTGGCTTTCAGGTTGTAGAGCAGTCTGTGCTGTTTTAGTTTGTTTTCTACCAGCTTGTGCCTCCACAGGTGTTCTGATTTACCAGCTACCTCACAGTGGTTCCACTTCCTCTCCTCAGCTCCTATTGTCTTTGAATCGTAAGGTTGCTACTTGGAGTTGTTCTCTGCTGCAGCTAGCTTTCAGATGAGCAGAGCCGCTGTTGGTTTCAAAGATGTAGTCTACAAGGGATTCCCCAGTGTTGTCTTGGTGTCTGGTGGCTCGGTAGATGTGGAGGCCCTGTAAGTTCCAGGTTCTTTATGAGGCTGAGTGCTGTGCACCCATGTAGTAGCACGCAGGTCCTGTCCTGCAGAGTTAGTCAGGTGTCTTGCTTGATGCTGCAGGCAGTCAGTCACAGCAGTGCTCCTGTGCAGTGCCAAACTGCCCACTCTGGTGTTGACCAGCAGTCACAAATCTTCAGCTCAATTCACCTTCTTGTTTGCTTCTCATCTTGCTGCTCTTCTGTCCAGGTGATTATTGGTGCCTCTTCAGCTCTCTGACCTTGCTGTGATATTTCAGAATGCATTTTGCCTCTTGTACAGGTGTGCGCTGAGAGTTACTACGCTTTTTGTATGTAAAAGATCATTTATAGCCCATCTTCTGCATGCCTTTGTCCAGCTATCAGAGCCTTTTAAATCTCACACAGTGTTTTAAAAGGTAAGGTTTAAGTACTGAGGTAGAGGTTACACTGTGAGATGCCATGATAACGAGAGCGGGTGTTTTGAGCACCAGAATCCAACTGTCTGTCTTCTAAAATATTGAAACTTTTTCAGATGCTCACTTCTTTTTCTGCGTCTGTGGTCCATAGACTGTGAGATCCAAACACCTGCATATGGATTCAAGAGTATGGAACAATGAATGTCTGGTTATTTTCTTTGTTCAGTCTGTAGCGAAATGAAGTTTTGACTGTAAATGTCTAAAAAAGGTGCTTTGTTGGAGAAATGCTGTGTGGTTTATCAGTAATGTGTATAAAACAGTTACAATCCCATTGCAGGTCCTAGGGGGGATCCCTGCCCAAATTAGCGCTGCTCTTGTCATCAGCTTCAGCACTTAATCTCTCTGAGTGCATCCTGCTAGGCTTTGTTATTCTGTAGGTGTTCATTCTGCAGTCAGGATTGTCCATTTAGTTTCACGGGATTGGTTTTAGGAGCGACAGCTACGTACATCAGCTGATGTGGTTGTGCTCCCACTGTTTGCTCACTGCGTTGGATTCAAGCCAACTGGTTTGCTTCTGATCTGATAGCAAAGCTGCACCGGCAGAAAGTCGTAATGTGTGGCGTTGTAAATTGGTCAGCTAGCTGTGCTCCTGTGCATTGGAGGTTTCTGCCTTTCCTGATGGGTTGGAAAGGTTAATTCACAGCAATGGGCAGCAGCGTGTGCTTCTAGGATTTAAGTGTGAGCACGTGGTGGCTTCATGGCTGGAGCTGCAGGTGATGCATCGTCCTGTTGGAGGTGCATGAGATGGCATGTCTGGAGATTTGGGATGAAATAAGTACTCTGTGCAGGGCAGAGGGTGTTTTGAGGATGTGAGATCTGTGTTTTACACTCTGAACTAACGTGATTATTATTAAATTGCATACTAATACCACGTGCCATCTAAAAATAGCCTAACTGGGTTTATGCAACAAATCTCTGTGTTTTAAAAATACTGCCTACCAGATATAAATCTTAAAAGCCACTCTCTCTGTTTTGAATACTGTGTAGGTTTCTTCAAGTCACTCGGAATGTCAATTGTCTTTCCATCATTAGCAGCCTTGAACATCAGTTAAAATGTTTGTAGGAGATTGTCATCTGGTCGTTTGGCTTTTTTCTGTCAGTGGAAAACTTCACCCTGGAAGCCTCTGACAAACATTCAGAAAATATTTGGAAGATTGTTGCTTCTTTAGAATGTAAAAGGACTGGAAGGGTTGCATGGTTTGAGTGGAACGCTGCACACGTGGCCAGGAACCCAGAGGTAGTCTGCACTATGGAAATGCAGGGTGAGAGTACAGCTCTTGTCTCACATCCCATGGCTTACGTTACAGGATGTCTAAGGCACCGTGTGGCTTCACAGAGATGAAGAGGTGGCACAGAACAAAGAAACAGTGTGATAATATTGACCGGCACCTCACAGCTCCTGGGGGATGTGATGAGGGAGCTGTGAGAATTTTAGCTGGAGGTTTGAAGGCTAAATGGTAAAGCAAAGTTATGGAACCAACTGCCAAGCATGGGGAATGGTGTGCATTCAAATGGAAATAAGTATTATGTCAACTCTTTTTATTTGATGTCACTGTAGGGATGCTATTCCCACCCTGCTCTTGTATAAACGCATTAACCTAGCTGTTGAAACTTTTTATGCTGTAGATAGAAGCTGAGTCTTTGTCCAAGCAGCCAGGCACCAAAGTTCTCCAGAGCTGGTGATACACTGAGCTGTGTAAACATGTACATCTCTCTTTCATCTTGTCCACGTTTGTGGCTTGGTGGTGGCTTTCCTTCTTCCTTCCTTGCCCCTTGCTGAGCTGATTCCCCATTGCTTCTGCAGGTCGACTCCGCTTTTCCCCTCTGCTGGTCCCTAGTGGGACCTCATCCAGCCCCCCTGTCTTCAGCTCTCAGCAGTGCTGGTATTGATCCCAAGTGGAATTGCTGACCTTTAGGCTTTGCTTTGCCACTGGAAACTGTGAATTAGACTTTTCAAACAGTACTGTTTCTTCAAACGTTCATAATGGAAATTTCTACAAACATCTAAGGGAACAAGCTTCTAGAAACTAGTGGGATGCAAATGAATTGTGATTCTGGAGCAACTGACGTTTGAATTTTGTGATGGCACTGAGACAGAGCGAAGTAAGCAGCACTTATGGGGTGTCCTTCACAGGAGATGGCTGTGTGATACTCAGATGTAAAATTTCTTGAAAATTCAGTTTGCAGTCATGGAGATGGAAAGAGGGAGAAGGAACATATTCCCACTCCTGAAAGGCCTTATTGATGTGCACGAGATTGGACTTTCTTTGCAGATGTGAGCAATTTCTGAGCAAGTTAAGCCTGGACATCAGAGGCGTACAGTGAGAAAGCAAGACCGATTTTTGTGATGGAAACAATGAGTGGAATTCTCATTCTTTGTCCATTCTCCTTCTGTTGAGGAAAGTGAAGGTTGATTCATGATCTGGGCTGCCAGATCACAGTTCCCTTCTGTGTTTGAAAGAAGTGTGGATTGGCACATTTTTCTCAGGTATTTTTTGTTGATGTTTTCTTCTTTTATCTATTTTAACTAATGAAAACTACTGTCCAGCTATCACATGTTGGCCGTTCTCTGAATGCACCAATTTTTAGCCAGGAACTTGGTTGATTTCTCTTCCTCTTACATCCCCTTACTTAAATTTGCTGTTTCCTGTTTAAAATCCTGCACGTGACTTTTGGGAGAACTGCTTTTTCAAGGTTGTCTGCATTGCACTGCACACGTTTTGACAACACAAGGCTGTACCTATTGAATTTTAAATTGGTTTCTAAACTAAAATTACTCCAGTCTTAAAACAAAATTGAGAAGCCTTGCTAGGAGGAGTGTCTGTGGTCTCCACCGTGAGATCTGGGTGGCGCTGGGCTTCGGAAGGCAGCTGCAAAGCAAAGATACAGCATTGCCTTCCAGTGTGACCTGAGGTGTGTGTTTGTGGTTGAGGCAGTGGGAGATGATGGAGTAGAGTAGTTCTGATGCTCAGCTGAGGATGTTGGCCACTCTGATTGTGTTGCACAGTGTTTAAAGACGAGTTGATAAGTTTCCAACAGGCATCTTTCTGGGGTTAATTACCCAGATCTGTAGGCGAATCCAAACACGGATTTCTTTAGTTTGTTTTCTTACTGTGTTATGATTTACAGATCAGCTTGAGTAGCTATGCAGTAAGGAGCTGCTCGATACTACGTTGGAGTTGTGTGAGGCCAAAAAAGTTTCTTCACGTTTATGTATAACTTGAGAGTAATGCAAAGCACATTGGCAGCCGGGTTTTCCAGATAAGTAGAATTTTCCAGCCTCGAGAAAGGAATTCGCTTTGAAATCCTTCCATGCTATAATTTGTCAGTCTCCTCTCCTGAGCCCAGTGGTCACAGCACAGCGCTTGCTGCTGCTTAGAATCATATTCTTAGATCAGAGGAGATCACAGACATAGGATTGGAATTGGACCTCTGAGGCCATCTAGTCCAACTCCCCTGCAGTGACACAGCCTGCAGAGCAGGAGCGATAGCGCACAGTTCTGTGGCTGTTGAGCTTCTACTCGCTTGCTGTGCTGTACAAAACAAGGGTGATTTTGGTGAAATTTATACTTCAACAAAATTGGACTTGATTTCTTTACTAGTTTGCTTTGTCTAATTAGGATATAATACTTTTATCAGTCCTATAAATTTGGGCCTTTAAAAAGGCAATATACAATGTTCCAGTAGGCTTTTCCAAGGGCGTCAAAGCAGGTTTGTGTGCTGAGAATGTACCTCCTTTGCTAGGGCGCTCTGCCTTTGTTCAAGGCAGCTAAGAACGAAAGGAGCACATTTGCTGGATACGTGCACCTCATAACCATGCTGTGCCCAATTCTTCTCCTCCTGTGGTCTGTGAGATACAGTTTGCAGATGCTTCCCCTCTTCCTGCAGCTGTGGAGTAATGCTCATTAAGGAACTCCATAGGAAGTGTTCCTTGGGGCTTAAATGACCTCCCTCCTGGTAACAGCTTTCCAGGACAGCCACGATGTTCTGTAAATAATGTATTAGAAGTCTTTTCTCTGTATATCCTGCTTACTAAGTGTGAGTGCTCACATTAAAGTAGATGTTTGGTAAACCCTTCTGATAGTAGGGAGGTCAAGAGCTGATGTTTAGAGAAATGTGAAGCCTCTTATTGGAGGCATTATAAGAACAAAAGAGAATGAGCAAAGATGAAATTTAGTACTACGAGTTCTTTCAAGTAGGAGCAATAAAGGTGTTGAGTAATCGTGGTGGGATCTTAGGAGGAAGAGTGACTGCACAATAAAATGGCAAATGAGATTTAGTTGATCAATGCTGAATGATAAACATGGAGAAAAATATTACTTCTCAGAGCGCATCATTTTATATCTTAAGCAGTTTCTGTAAACGTATGTAAGTGATAGACTGCTGATGGCTGCCAGCCAGAAGTGAGATCTTGGCCTTTCAGTGTAAAATCGTGGAAATATTATCTCAGTGCTGAGTGTCAATCAAAAGTACAACAAATGTTAAAAACCAGGAATGGTGGCAAAGTTTATTATGACACTGTGTAAAGCTGTATAAGCTTCCCAGTGTGGGGAAGAGGCAACGTGGGGGATATGTGAGAGGTGGCTGTGAAACCGTGAGCAGTGTAGTGAGGAGGAAGGGTGGGGATTGACTGCTGGCCTCTTCCAACACAAGAAGCAGAGATTGCCTGGTGAAACCAGTAGGTGTAATGGCTTGAAACCAAAAGTCATGCTTAGCACAGGGACCTTCTTGTCAAAGCCTGCTGTGACAGATAACATTTGAAACAGCTCAAGAAGAGATGAGGCAAGCCTCTGGAGAGAATCTTGAGGGTTACTGAATACGTGGATACGTGGAAACTCCATCTCCAAGAATAACAGCTAAAGGCTGGGCAAGGAGTAAGGCTGTGCTTGCCTTGTTCTTACTCCATGCCGTAGGCATCTGCTTTTGGCCACTGGTGAGATGGGACACTGCACTGCGTGGATCTCTGGTCTGACTCCGTGTGGTTACGCTGGGGTTTGAGGATGGGTGAGACAACATTTCGGAGGCCTTTCCATCGTCATTCTCTTGGTGAACTTTATAATCTGAATCTGGGGAAATCTGGTAATTTGGGAGCCTGTGCAATCCAACAGTTCAAAACATCCCAATGCTTAATACCTCCAAATTCTTGGCAAGAGCTCAGATACTGCCTTTCTGGGACAATGTTGTTGACTTGGCATGATTCCCCAAGTATTAAAACTAATTAAGCTTAAATTTCCTGTGAGTTTGCATCTCATGATTATTATTATTTCTTTTTAATATTAGCAATACTAAATCTGAAGAGGGTAATAAGTGCCACAGAGCATGCAAAAACTTTGACTGGAGAGTGAATATGAGATATGAGCTCAAGCTGAAAATATTCCCGTGGCTCAGGCATTCCTAACGTCTCCCCTGTGTAGGTTGCTGGCATTTATGGAGAGTAGAACTCGCTGTGTTCTTTCCTCCAGTGCGAGCATACAGAGTGGTTTGTTTTGTCTGTCCATCTGTCTTCCTCTGGAAATCACCACTTTTTTTTTCGGAGATTTTAATATCTTCTTTTAGCTTTTGCACCCGTTCAGCAGCTTCAGCCAAATGTATTTTGGGATAAATGAATCGCACAGTTGCCAGCAAGATTAAAAAAAAAAAAAAAATCTAATTAAAAGTTAAATTGTGGCTGCACATTTCTTATTTGGACTGATCAGTATTTCATAATCTGTAAAGCGTTGATCACTCTTTAAGAAGCAAAACAGGCTGAGGGTGGACCAAGGCACAGGCACAGTACTGCTGGCCTTTTCCTGCTGGAAGTGCAGTGGATGCATATGTAGTCTCAGAGCATTATGTGAGCAAGTGTTTCTTGTGTTTGCTCCTTGCTCGAGTCAGAGCACAGCTTTCTGCTTTTCCTGCTGGGAGGGCTAACATCCAGAAGGGCCCAACAGCTGCTTGTAAACTCTTTCCACTTACAGACATTGCTTTTAAAACTAGCTGATGCAATTTAAAGCTTTCTTTTGTTTTTCCCCAATGAATGGCGGTTATGGGCTTTTCTCACAAAATCAGATGTTACCTTATGACCACCATGGACATCTCTGCTTGTGTTGCTCTGTAAATAGTGTCATTTAAAGGGAACGAAACGTGTCTTCTGCAGGCTGCATTGTGTGTGTGAGTGGTGAGGTGCTGGAACAGCTGCCCAGAGAGGCTGTGGATGCCCTGTCCATCCCCAGAGGTGTTCAAGGCCAGATTGGATGGGGCCCTGGGCAGCCTGGCCTGGTAATCAGTGTGGAGGTTGGTGGCCCTGCGTGTGGCAGGGGGGTTGAGATTCATGATCCTTGAGGTCCCTTCCAAGCCGGGCCATTCTGTGATTCTGTTCCACCTGATGGCTTTAAATTTTCACTGCATAACTTGTGTTTTGCTGTTGTCTCTGTAGGATCTGGAGTCAGTCTGCCTCAATTCAACCTTTCTCAGAGCAGCAAGGAAAAGTTACATACCTGCTGTTTGGTTATACGCTCATTTTCCAATTGCTGCAGTTGTGCTTTGATCCCTTCTTGTGCAGCTTCTATGCATGGTTCCTTCTGTATTGCTTTTGAGGAGCTGTATTAGAATGCTGCGTGTTCCTGTACAGTCACAGCTCCAGCTGCAGCATGGGGGCATCTCTCTTCCATCAGTACCAAAGGATTCGGGTTTCAGAGGGAAAACGGGAAGGTCCCTTCATCTGCTCATTCATGGCATCCAGGAGCTCTGTAAAATGACTGAGCTAATGCAAGTTTCCTATTACTTCAAGTGCACAAAAAGCTGAATTTTCGAAAGATGCTTCCACGTAATGGAAGGCAGGGAAGGCTGGGTTAGGGAAGGGCATGGAGCTTTTTCACAAAAGATGGAGTGCAGGGACAAGTTCCGTGATTTAAGGGCGGCTGCAGGCAGTGTTCAGTATGTGCTGTTCTTGGGAGGGATTGGGTTCCCTGTAGGTAACACAGCATAGAGAAGTTGGGGTGATTTTCGTTGAACTCGTAGCTCAGTGCACTCAAGGAGGTTGGGTTGGTTACAGCACTCCAAAGGGCTCCACGGGAACCTGCTGTGGAAGGTCCATCTGATTTAAAATTTCCTTGAAAGCAGCTGATGAAAGGAGATATTTATGACTTGGTCTTTCAGTCTACTTTGCACGCTTTGCTTTCTGTTCCCAGTTTTCCAAATAGTACTGATTTGTTCCTCAGAACATGTTTCACTTTGGTGAAATCTGTGGGAATCCACCGATGGTTGTCACTCATCCAACAGAGGCTCCTCGTAGGGAGACAGTGCTGATCAATCTGAACATCTGCTGTCAAAGAAGGGGAAACCTGTTGCTGTAGACGACTATAGGTACTGTGAAGTTTATTTAGGCATTAAAATACCTTGCTGGCTTGCAGCTGGCTAAAACCAACCCGGTGATACTGGATATAGTTACCAGCTGAAATGCTTCTATGCAGAATTTAAATTAGCACTGTTCTTTTGTATTTTATTCTTCCATGTTGCTCACCTTGTTCTTGAGAACAAGCAAAGGCATTCTTCCGGACTTCTCATTTCAGAGAGATGAAAACCTCACCGTCCAGATTCTCAGCACCATGAGTGTAAAGGCTGTGCTCTCAGGTGTGTTCAGTACATCAGCAGCTGGCTTTTTAAAATGGTTTTCTCCTTAACAGTAAGATCTCTGAGAAATTTCTTGCAGTCCCCTCACATCTGCACAGGACGTGTGAGCTGGTTTTGGCACTTTGAAGTATTTAAGCATCGTGGTTGTGACAACTACTGTTATTTTAAATATTGGCCCAATGATGGGAAGTGGGGATCCACCGCTCCCCAGGATAAGTTAACAGTTCCCTGGTTGCATCTTCTTCTCTGGCACGAGAGCAATCTATTAAGGAACAATATACAATATACGTTTCTTTCATTTTTATTCAAATACATTATTGGGTGTTTTATTTGGTACTTAATAAGAATTCGTAGGAGCCATTTAGTTGCTTTTGTTGTTCACAAAACTAAAATCTTTGTGCTTCATTGGTGACGCTGTCATAAAGCTATGCTCTGTTTTCAATCCCAGCCAAATGAAAAGTGAAACAGTCTCTGTTGAGCGTTCCTTTCTTCTGGGCTTGCTATTGCATCATTTTTACATTCCTTTTAGGGTTTCCCTTTACTCGCTTTCCATTTGTTTTCACTGATTTAATTAAAACCTCTGCCTTGGCTCTTCATGGAGGTTTGTTGCTGCACTTCTGGTAAACTCATAGAAATCTTATGTCTTTTGTAACTTTCAGTGGAAGAATTGCTGAGGGCACATAGGGACTGGATCTGTTTGTGCTTCTAAAGGCTGCAGCAGCACAGCCAATTACGCCTGGCGTTATGGCGTGATATATTTCTAATGTTTTCTGAAGATTTAAAATCAGATACGGCATCCGTGAGAATTTTTAGATGATTCTTTGCACGGTAGGTTTTCCTGTGACTTGTTGGACCTTCTCGGGCCACTTATTGCTGCTACAAGAAATCCATCCTGTACGATCCGGGAAGCCTGGCTTGAGTTCACGGTAATCTTTCTTTTTCTTTCTTCCTTTAGGAAATTTGCTACAAGATCCTATCGCTCCTACAAACTCCACGTGTCAGCATTATGTCTGCAAAACGTGTAAAGGCAAGAAGATGATGATGAAACCATCCTGCAGCTGGTGCAAGGACTATGAACAGTTTGAGGAGAACAAGCAGCTAAGCATTTTAGTGAATTGCTATAAGAAACTCTGCGAGTACATAACACAGACTCCCCTGGCACGAGACATTATCCAAGCAGTTGACTGTTCTGCAGATCTTTTGGCTTTGCTCAAAGACGGATCGCCACTCCACGAAGAGACGGAAAAATCTCCTGACACAGCCTTGTCTTTGTGTTTGACACATTCCCCAGTACCTTCAACCTCGGAGCTCACAAGTGATCCTCCAGCTAATTTGACGTCGAAACCTGAGGGCGCGCAGAATGTTGATATCCGAGGTTCTGTTATCAATGGGTTGCCCAATTGTAATGGGCTTTCGGTAGATAAACTTGGAGTGAATATTCCTTCTCCTGAACACGCCAACACGATCGATGTATGTAGTACCGGAGAGTACATGAAAAATGAAGATAACTCTAGCAGCCTGCAGCCTGTGTGTGACCCAGTTTCTACCAGTGACTTGTGTACGACGGGCATTGACATCTGCAGTTTTAGTGAAGATATCAAGCCAGGCGGATCGCTTCTCCTTAGTGTTGAGGAAGTTCTCCGGAGCTTAGAAACCGTTTCAAATACCGAAGTCTGTGGTTCTAATTTGCAGCCCAGCTTGGAGGCAAACGTGACTAATGGCCCTTTCCTACAGCTTTCTCCCCCGCCTCTTAGCCATAACATTTTTGTGTCCACAGATGCTTCTCCTCATGGGATCTCATGTACAGCAGCAACACCCAAGGTAGTCAAGTTAAACAGAAAGCGATCTCGATCAGAAAGCGACAGTGAAAAGGTGCAACCTCTACCTATCTCCAGCATCATCTGTGGCCCAACACTGGGAGCATCAGCTCCTGTAACAGTGAAACAGGAAAGTAAAATGTCTTTGCAGCCTGTTGCAACTGTACCTAACGGAGGCACTACTCCCAAAATAAGTAAAACTGTGCTCCTGTCTAACAAAAGCGTGAAAAAGAATTTGGAACATGCCCCTAAGAAATCTCACCCAAAAGCCAAACCAGGGGTGCTGAAAACAAAAGACAAAGCAAAGGAGAAAGTCCCTAGCAGTAACGTTATGCCGGGGAGCCCGACAAAAACTGTGTATAAAAAGCCACAAGAAAAGAAAGGGTGCAAATGTGGTCGTGCCACCCAAAATCCAAGTGTTCTTACATGCCGTGGCCAACGCTGCCCTTGCTACTCTAACCGCAAAGCCTGCCTTGACTGCATATGCCGTGGCTGCCAAAACTCCTACATGGCTAATGGGGAGAAGAAGCTGGAGGCATTTGCGGTGCCAGAAAAGGCCTTGGAGCAGACTAGGCTTACTTTGGGCATTAATGTGACAAGCATTGCGGTGCGCAATGCCAGCACAAGCACCAGTGTAATCAATGTGACAGGGTCACCAGTAACTACGTTTTTAGCTGCCAGTACACACGATGACAAAAGTTTGGAGGAAGCTATAGACGTGAGATATGACTGTTGAATCTTTTTCTTTTCCCTGCCGTCAGTAGGGGAACTGCTACAGTTTAAAGGCAGCTATGGTTCTGTTTAACTTGCTGGAGCTCCTGCGTTTAGATCACTTGTATCAAGTGTTTTTCATTGCTATGTTATGTGTATTAGTGTCTGGGAAATAGTTGCAGATAATGGAGGAGTTACCCTAAAACTGTTTTTAGTTCTTACAGCACCTCATAGTTTGAGATGAATTGCTGATGTAAATGATTTTATCACAAGATCTTTGGCAAGGAGAAATATTAACCTCATTGTACTTGCTCATGCTTTGTGCTCAGTCAAAGCTTCTGCTTAAACGTAGAGAAGTGCTATCTAGTTAGCCCGTGCAAACTGTGCTAGATTATGGTGCAGAAAAGTAATTATCAATTGGTTACAATCACTACTGCCAGAAAATCGCCTAGTATTTCTGGAGAAAATGCAGCATTAAGCTGAGGAATACAGTCTGAAAAGGGTAGGTAATTTTGATTGTTAGAATTGATTATGGAGCAGTTACAAATTAAGATCAGTAAGATGTGAGAAAGCTAACAGCCCACAGAGCAGTTCAGTCTCCCACCGAGGGTCAGGGAGATGAGTTACTCAGACACGAACGTTAAATCACCGTCACCAGTGTGCCATCCCCGTCAATACCATCATTCCTTTTTTTTCCTGCCAGTTCCACTGGTCGTGCTCCTGATCTGTTAATGCCCTCCATGCCGGCTCCATTTGTTTGACGTGTGTCTGTTTTGACTGAAGTGGAAAAATCGCTTGTACACAAAGAAGGTTCAAGTTTGAGGAGCGCTACCTCCTTACAGCCCTCTCCTTTTTTCCTTTCATTGCCAGTTCCTGATGATTCTGATTTTAGTGCTGCCGCTTCTAGAAGAGCTGCTGCTATTTTTTTAGTGAGCTTCTGAGGAGGGGCTCCGTGGCTGCTTTTCCTCTGCCCCTGTTGTGCTGCCGGTCAGTGAGTGCAGTGTGCAGATACCTCCTGCAGTTGCCATTGCTGGGTATGTTTGGTTTTTTAAGCCGAAGTGCAGCACACCTGGGGGAGCTCCTTTGAGGGCAGTTCTTTGCTGACAGGATCTCTTGGCTGGGGCAGAAAATGGATTTCTATCAAAGGTCAAATATTTTGGATGTTTGTTAGACACAAGAAGCTGTATAATTCACCCGGAATCCGTCGCATTTTTCTGTGATACATTGAAAGTCGCTTTCAGAGGTCAATGTTTTTGTGACTTGGGCTGAAAAGACCCCAAGCGGAAAAATAACAAAAAGTTGTCAGAGAGCTCGTTTCAAAAAGTGTTAGAAATTGAAAACCTTCATAGGAATTCAGCTTTATGATAATTTAAAATAAAAAAAAGCTCATTTAATCGTAATCCCGAAATAAAAGTACAGTCAGAAGCATTTAGTCCTGTCGTTAAGATTCCATTGGCAACTTGAAAAATGCAGTTGTTTTGTGAAAGCAGAAATTTCTCCTCTTGGGATGACAGAGCACAGACTGAGCACAGGCTGACTAGAACACACAACATTACCTTCTAATTTAAAAGGCGATTCCTGTTTCAGCAGCATGTTAAATAGTACGTGAGTTTTTCGAGTTAACTGCTTCCATCTTTCTTTAATTCATCTAATGGAGTCTGCAGTGCTTGCTGACCTAACGTTAGGTGTATTTTGATTTGGCACAAAGCATGTACAATGATGGTTACTCACCTAAGAAATAAGCAAAAACCTTTGGACACGAATGGCACCTCCTTTCGTTTTGTAGTGTACCATGGTGTCATTTTCTGTGGACGTGGTCAGATCTTTTTGTTGGTTTTGGTTTGTTTCTCCCCCCGTCTTTTTTGTGGGGTGGGTAGGGTGGGGGGTTAAAGCCATAGGAAGAAAAATGTGATGTATGTGTCCAGTCTGTACTTTTTTGTTTTTGTTTTGCAAGAAGAGTTGAAAAATATTTTTGATAATGAGTAAATGGTGGAAAATGCTTCTTAGTATTCTTGTCTTTATTTGCCAACCCAGGTACCTAAGGTGTGTGTTTTCTAGCCCTCATGAGATTTAATGATGTCCTATTAAAATGTATTTAGTTAAACTTGTATGTGATTTTTGTGTTGACCCAAGAGGATCCTACCGTTTCCTGACTTGGTGGTTTGATCGTGACCTACTGATGTAAATCTGTTTCCCAGTCCACTACATGTAAGAAACGTTGCCAGACCGGAGTCTGATCTAAGAGGAGTAAAATGCACAGCATGGGTTATTTCTGAATGGTTTTGCAGAGCTGTTAAGTTTTGCTGGGATTGTTGGTGGTACATTTATTAGGACTTATATTAAATTACATGCGTAGTACCTTTGCTCCACAAATGCAGGAGTACTTGGAGTCTTTAGTATCTCACTGCTGCATTAAATATGGTGGTTTAGGTCAAGTGTGTTTTGGAACTGTTGACAGGAGAGCCCTGATCGTTAATGTAAACAGTGCAAATGGTAGATTCAGGTTGTTTCTAAAAACGTTTCTTTTTATGCTGCCACGTTTTTGAAATGTGTATTAAAATTCAAATTGATTTAATAAATGTTAGTTTTCTAATTCTATTTTGCAACTGCTCAGAGCATCGGTGTGGCATATTTCAAACTTGCTGTCTACACACTGCTTAGTTCATTGATGACTAATTCTGTAGTTGTTTAAATTAAGGTTTGGTTGGTTGCATTTTTTTAACCTCCTGGCTAGTTGTTCTTGAATGAGCTGAACAACAGAAAGGGTCACAGTGTTCCTGGTAATGATTGCAGTGGTTCCAGTTTGAAAAAGCATTTTTTTCCATTTTAAAAGGGATATCAGCAGCCTGCTGGTGTGGGAGCTTCCAACGATGCTTGTAGTCAAAAGGAGTTAAGTGACCAACATCACACACAGCAAGGGCTTGCACCCTGTTGGCCATCAGTGGAGAAGCACAGGAGAATGGCTGGCAGAGAGCCCTTGCAGTGATTCCAGCTATAGCTCAGCCTGGGTTGGCTGGGCTGGGCTGGGCTGGCAGGACTTCCCTGGGTGCTGTCAGCCTGGCCTTCCTCCCGTAGTGCTGCGCAGTGGGGGAACTCTTCTCTGTGTTGGCAGAAGAGCCTGCTTGGGGATTTCATTTAGCAAGCGTGTGACACTCGAGCTTTCTTCCCAGTCCCACCTCAGGAAAGTGAAGCTTCCAAGCTTTAATACAATTCTGCCATCTGCAGAGCTGGGTCAGAAAGAAGCAGCATAGTTTTAGCGTATGCTTTGCTATGGTGGTCTTCCTGCCTGAAAACTACTGTAGAGATGGAAAGAACAGCTTCTTGTGGAAGGGGACTTTGGATTGTGTTCTGATGTGTGCCAGTACAAAAACAGTGCTTATGGCCTTCTCAGTCTGAACATATGGAAGATGCTTTTTCAAGAAAGAAAACATTTAAACTTCTAATTTTAATGGGAAAGGCTCTTTCGATGTATTGTGTGAGTGAGGGAGGGAGGAGGGGGCAAGGAAGCAAAACTGGAAATGACCACTTGGTTTATGCTGCTCTTGCAGGCAGTTCAGTTGTGCAGGTGATGTTCTTGCTCTCTGACATTTCTAACCCTCATGTATAATGCCTGTCAACATTGAGGTTGCAACATGCTCAACTCCCTGTGGATGTTCTGTACGTGCATTTGACTATGGTTTCATTGTCAGAAACTGTGCAGGCAGGTAGCATGTCTTCTTCTGCAGCTGCTTCAATTTGTGTCAGCACGGAGTTTTCAGACAGAAGAAACAAGGCTGCCAGCTCCCCCCTCTCCAAAACCACTGTCAATTTTGCATAGTCACAAGGAAGCCTATGGAGTTGCGACACACCAGCAGTCTGAAATAAAACCTGAAAGCCCTGCTTTCAAAGCAGGTATTGCTAGCACAGCAGGGGCTTGTTGTGTGGTGAGACAGATGGATTTTAAAGAAAACGATCATACAGACATGGCACACAAATCTTGCAAAGAATTCTGATGTGATCTAGAATAAAAGCATCTCTTTACTGTGTGGAAGCACATGCCCCAGATATTTTTAATGTATTAAATCTTTATACAGTTGAGAATAAAAAGGTGGATTATAAGCAATGCCTTCCTGAGAAGTGGAACAACAAAAAAGAGCAGCTTTGGATACATCAGAATAACTTCAGGTGTAGGTGGTGCAGCTGTAACATTCACCCTGACACTTCACACGTGTTAAGGTGGTACTGCTTGTGCTGCAGGCACGTCTTTGTCCAGTCTTAACTACTCCATTTTTACAACTGAAGGCCTTGGGTATTTTAAAGTAACCAGAGGTCACTACCAAAAGGTGTGCAATCCACAGATCAGCCGTGTGTGGGTGCAGCCACCGCTCTCACAAAGTAAGAAGATCATGCAGCACTTCAGCATTTGCATGCGATGAAAACAGAATATTTTTCTTTCTCCCCTCTGTGCCACTTGCAGAGGATCCAGGAGAAGTCTGTTCTAAGGTTAAAATGAGGGACGCAGGAATTTGGTAAGTTGGTACAGGAGCGGAGCTCCACGCTGAGGAGGAAGACCTGAGGAAGGTGAGTGTGGGGCCTGCTGCTTCTCCCCGGTGTGTTCAGCACAGCTGCGCCTCCTGGCTCCGTGGGGTTGCTGACAGGCAGCTGGATGAGCTCAGCAGCAAGAAGGCCGGCAGGTTTGGGAACAGCACTGGGAGCTGAAGTGAACAGTAACACCGTGCCAACACTGTGAGACAGATTTTACCTCCTCATTTCAGAAGTCCTTTATTTGCCAAAAAGAAATGAAGAAATTACAAAGTAGAAATACAAAGATAAAACCATACCAGCACAAAACGCATCCAAAACTACTTTTACAAAGTATAAGAACCTTTATTATTTAAATACTCAGTTTCTAGAACCATCACCCAGCGATACAGAGAAAAGAGGGAAAGGCCACGCACTGCTGAATTCTTTCTCACAGTAACACCTGCTCCGTGCTGAGGTTCACTTCCATTGCGTAGACCTGCAGCTGCTGTGAAGTGCCGTACTCCAGAAGTACGCTGCTTTTCCTTCCTGTTCTTTCAGGCATATTTTATTTCAGAAGCTAAGCGCGGACCTTGTTCAGAGTCAGCTTCCTTTCATCCTTAGTTCACGAAAGCATTGCAGAAAGGTTTTCTGCAGTGTTTCTGTCAACCTGAGGCTGCCTGCCACCTCTTTCTCGCTGTCCGCGTCTGTTTTGCAACACTGCCGCGTGGTGGCAGGCCGGCAGAAGGGGAACTGCGCCAGCGCCTGGGCGCTTCTTGCTGGTGAAAAACGTGGTGAAGGAATTACTACCGAGATTGCAGAGAAAAAGAACAAAATGAGCCCAGTACCATTCCAGCACGTGGTTGTATTGAACCACATCTCCTGTCTTAACAGTGCGGAGGAAATTTGTGAATGTGAAAATAAGGTTTTTTCCTAAGGACACGGGACTTGTTTTTGCCAGACAAAAGCAGACTAGAGGGGACGAACAAACACGTATTCTTTTATCATGCAGAACTGAATTGCAGTCGCTTTTCTGACTATCCATTAGCAAAAGGAATCCAGCTCATAATAGACTTACAACCAAAAAGAAAAACGTAAGAGCTGTCTTTAAAGGTATGCGACATCTACAGCCACGCTGACAGCTGCAGGCAGGAGGCAAAGCCCGAGCGCAGTGGGTTCCTGTGAGTGTTCTGTGCTGTAACTCTTGGGTTCGTTGGCTTCATTTCAGAGAGCTGCACAGCCTCTGAAGCTGGTGTGTGCTGCAGGGGAGCAGGCACTGTGTCTGCAGCCCCAAACACCCCGATCTGCTGATGTTGTAACCACCCCAGAAACTCCAGGAGCATGACAGAGTTTCCAAATTTACCACGAGAAGTTTTGACAGGGCTAAGACACAAAGGGGTGTAGAATAAATACCTCATTCACTAATTAATCTGTGACAGCTGAATTATGATTACCTGCACATGGATTAGTAAAACAGAGAACAGATTTCTTTTCCAGAAAGCAAACGCTATAAGTTACTACATATAGTTTCTGTAGCTCGTTCTTGTACATGAGGCAAAACTTCTGCCCTAAGTTGTCCTTTATTTTTTTTTATTATTTTTTTATTCCTTAGGCTGGTGTCACGGTGTTGCCCTGCTAGAAGGGACAGATGGAATCACTGTCATTAGAGCAGCAGAGAACCTGTTTTTTAAAAAAGAAATCCTTGGGTTTGGGAGTGAAAGAGCTCAGAACAAAAGCCACGAATGTCTGCCTCACTGAAGCCAAAGCTTGAAAATGTAACAGGTGATTTTACCAGGCTTAGGATACTCCTCTTTGTTTGCTTTCTTTCCATCCTGGAATAGGTCAGGTTCTTCTCTTGTTCCTTTGAATAATCTTTGTTTTGGAGAGATGTAAAATCTTATCAAAGAGTAAAAGGCCACTTCAGGCCCAGATAATGAAGAAAAGAGGTGAAATGCTTTGTCTTGGTTCTTTCAGGTGAAAGAAGTAGAAAGAGCTGGTTCTAATTGGCTGTTGTGTGATTTCCATCCTATGTTCATTTTTGCAATCATTTACTTTTTTTCTGAACATGGATCTCTGTAGAATTATTCCACAAGCTTCTCCAAGGGTTACAGTGGTGATGGAGATGTAACTCAGACATCCTGAAGTTGAACAGAGCTACTCTTGTGTGCTCGTTGCATTTGAAGGGGCTTACCCTGCCTTGGTCAGTGCCCCCTCCTTCATTCTATCACTGTAGAATGGAGATGACCTCAAAGTACCTTTGCTAAGAATCTGGGCATCCAGAAGCTCCCCCAATATATGAAAAAATCCAGGATCCTGGGATGTGTATATGGATCTAGATAAAATAGCAACATTGTTCATGGGAAAGGGAACAGTTCTTTGAGCCCAGTGTAACTGATAACTTCCTCCCTTTCAGATTTTGATCTTGATGAGAGTTACTAACCTCAGCAAGGCAGCAGTATGTCCCACCTGGGCATCGGGAGGCAGGCGTGACACTTCAAAGGCTCCTGGAAAAGTTGAAGCTGGGTTGTAGTGATCAGCCAATTCCTTACTTGTTACTAACAGCAACATTTAGACATAGCATCTAGGGATGAATGTACCACTGGGCAGCATTTTTATGCACCAAACACGCTGGGATAACAGTGAGCATGTGTATCCACAAGCTATCTGTCTATGAAGTGAATGGGTTCTGTCTTTCTACATCAATTGTAATTCCATGGGAAAGTCAGTTCAATTTTGCACTTACAGCAAGAATTCATCAGTTACACTGCTTTCTCTCTGAATCTAGGTCTGTTTCATGGGTGGAAAAAAAAAAAAAAATCAGTAATGTTTGGAGGTTTTCTTTACCAGGTAAAGAATCCCTCTGTTAACAGGAATTTACCACACACGGGTAAGGCAGGTATTTTCATGGTATCAGCTTAGACCCTTGCAGAAGGCTACAGATTAGCAGTACAAGAGAAGGGAAGAGCACAGGAAAGAAACAGAACTGAAGCACACAGAACGCAGCAGTTCCAGCACACTGGCTGAACAGTGCATGCATCTCTTGTAAATATACTAGAAAACACTTCTACAGAGAAAAAACCACTATCCTGACTGGTATTCATACAGGAGAGCCTCTCACACACAAAAGAATACGCAGAAACGTTAATTGTATCATAAATTCTAAGAGAAACATGACATCATTTTAACTGTTCACAGGCATACAAGTACAATTTGTTTGGTACCATCTACAAGAGCTTTGTATCACAGAAGGGGACCTCATTCTCCCTATCTGCAGGCATGTTGCCTTTGGTATTCAGGACACCAGCAAAACCAAGGACTGCACTGTGATTTGTGTTTTAAATGATCTCTAGCCATATATGTATAAATTAATTTGGCAACTTCCGTCACTCCTGTTGTGAAGTCAGAGAGTCATAATGGCACAGGACTGAACCAATGACCGCTGTAGATGTTGCACGCAGCTGTGAGTTTGTCATGAGATGCTGGCATTTATTGCACATCTGGGGACATTTATATGAAAAGATATAAAGGAAACAAGGTGCAATCACCATTTTTAATGTGTGCACAGTAACACATTGCAGAAAGCTATTTTAAAGAAATTATCTTATTGCAGTTACACAAGAAGAAAAAAAAAAGGGGGTTTCAAGTTACAGTGTACAAAATAAAACACATTGCTCCAATGACAGACTTAAGAAAAATCCCTAACTGTCCCTAAGCATCTTGGGACTGACTGCTATCCAGTTCGACAGACACTGATTACACATCTTCCATTCTCTATGCTAAGAGATCTGAGATAACTAGTTTGACTTGTCTCCAGTTTCAGAGGGAGATAAGACTTCATCTGTCTCATAGTCTTCTTCAAATGATCTGTAAAGATAAAAGGTGTGTCTTTAAAAGCTATTTTTTGGTGAGAGCACTTTTCAGCTAAGTTATTTCAGCAGCCGCTAAACCATGTGACTAAAATACGATAACATGCAGGATGTTAACCTCAAGGAGCATATTTGTAAGGCACAGTGCCTCAGTAGGCAGCACTCTGACAGCTGACTGTCCTCTATCCATTCTCATTCATAAGTTCTGAAACAGCTTTTCATTGGTGTTCGGCATTTAGAAATCTGAATACAGTTTTAGTCAGTATCTTGCAGTAGCCTTAGTGTAGAAATCAAGTTGCTCAGGCACAGATTCAGCTCCTAGAGGAAACTTGGCTTGCTCAGACCTGCTCACTAACACTTGGTTTCCAAAGTATTTTTGAGCTTATGATATGCTTTCGTTTTCACAGAAAAATCAATTGTGGCCACTCTGTCATGTTCCTCTCCCTCTTGGTTTGAAGCTCCAGCTCTCTGTGCTTATGACTTAGGGAGGTTTGTCTGCAAATTCTCCTCTCCAGCCAGCTGCAGTATATTGCTGAGAAATGATATTTTTTCCCCAGCCTCAGCCCATCACAAGGTATTTTCTCAGGACTCCCAAGAAACTCAAATTCTTTAGTTCTGAAAGCAACGCTTGTTGTGAAGGCAATGTTGCAGCAGGTCTTCCAGTGGCAAGCACAGGAATAGCTCCAGTTTATTCATTGATAAACTGCCCTAGAAAAAGGTTAACTCCTCGGATACCCTGTGTGGACAGTGCCAAAAAAAGAGCCATCTGCCATTTCTCGTGTTGCTTTTCCCTCTTCTTAGTCATGTGCAGATACAACAAAGCCCTGGGAGCAATTTCTGCCTGCCAATCCTTACGTCCTGCTGCAGAGAGGCTTCTGTGCCATCACCTGCAAAGTCTGTGAGATAGCAATTTTGCTTTCAGAGCCTTCGTGGTCAGATTCAACTACTGCTTCTGCCTTTACACAAAAACATGTGCATGCATTCACCAGGGAACAGGCTCTCTTCTCGAAAACTCATACACAGATGTATAAACCAGAAAACATGGCTGAGAAGTGTTCAGATTAGCTTAAGCGTTCAGTGAAACACCACGCTCCAAATTGTTGTTTTGAGTAAAAGAACACCTTTCTTTTCTCTTCTTTTTGGTGAGTGTGTTGTCCTTGTGTTTTCCAACATAGGTATTTAATTTACCACACTAGTACTTGCAAATCTCTGAAGCTGCCACTCAGGATCAGAAGTAAACACTTAAGATCTCCCTGACATTACGCAGACAGCGCCTGACCACCTCTGAACAGGCACAGCATCCTTGAAGTCTGTGTGAGCATCCACTATGTCTTGGTGAGATTCCTCTTCCACAGGCAGTGCCCTGTCACAGACAAGCATCCAGGCAGCCAGACACCAACTGGTGTCAGAAACCCTCCAGTCAGAAAAGCTACAGGCAGGATTAAGTCATAAATGTAGTGCAGAATGCCAACTAATTCATCTGCAATTGCTGAATGATGGTTATTCTCAAATCTATTCAGACAACCACTGAATTTCACATTCTGCCAGCTACCTTTGCTAAAAAATCATCTGCTTCTTCATAGAGCTCATAAATCATCTTCGTTTTGTCCCACTCTGTTTCTGTCACCCTCAAAGGACAGCAGAAATGATGAATATGCAAAAACTCAATGCCTCTTTCTAGCAAATTTGTCTGGGCATCCAGCTCTTTGTTTTTCTTTTTCCCTTCCTTTTTTTCCTTTGTGGTCTGTTGCTATGCTCCACAAATGAGATCTAATGTCGCTGCCATGACTACAGAGCTTTTCAGGGGCTCTTAAAAGCAAGCAGCAAGGTTGCTGACATGCTCTTTAGAGGAAGACACAGAGCTGTTTCAGACAGACTTCAAAAACCTGACATCACCAATTCCGTTTTTGGTGAATTTGGTGATTCGTGGTCCTGCAAAGCTTCTATGGCAGATTCCTATTTCTTTTCTGTACTGAGCACACAGGTGTTGCAGTGCAGATGCAGGAAATACAACAATTTTATCTTCCATCCTCTGTTACATCATCTTTCATTATGGAAGCCACAAAAAGGCAAGGCAGCTCAAAGGAGATGAATAAACAGCTTATTGCTGTTTGGATGCACATCACAGGGAGAAAGGCAAATGCAGCTCTCCGTGGCTTTGTAAATCCCAGTGGCCAATTAGTGGATGCTACTGTTATCCAAGCAGTTTCCATTGTGGGAAAATTAGGCAATCATCTCAGGACTCTTATTTCATGGCTCTGTAAATGCTGCTCAAGAATGGGTGAAATCCTGAATCATGCAAGATTAACACCATGTAGAAACACAACATATTTGTTCCAATGCGTCTTACAGTAACCATCAAGAAATCTCTGGAGAAATACCCTCAAGAAGATACGACCCCAGCCACGCATACAGCAAGTCTGCATTGGGAGCCTCTGTGGAATGCATACAGAGCATTCCTGGACCCACTGCTCTGCCTAAATTCATTGGCTCTGAGGGTAGCAGGAGCTATCAATACACGTTTCTACACGTTTGCAAAAATTACTGTAGATATTGCAGAAGTCAACTGTTTTAAATAAAAAGACTAATAGGCATAAAGTTGGGCAGGAAGTAAAATTATTTGACTAAAATAAAGTCTCCACTAATATGGCAAATGTAACGGCTACAGCTTTTACCATTAACACATAGCCAGGAGTAGCAAAAGTCATTTGAGATCTTTTTGGTACCGTTACCAAATGAAAATTGCTTTTTCCTTTTTCCCAGCTACCTTCACACCTGCTGTGTAGCTAATTTAAATGGTTGACAAAAAGAATTCAGAAGATCCCAAGCCTCTTATGACAAATTTACCAACAGAGCCATTTTGGAGCAACCACTTCAGGCTTCACCACGCTCTGATGCAGAGTCCTGATCTCAGCCAGAGCCATGGAACGCGTCTCCAGGGCAGTGCAATGCCTCTGCTTACCCTTCTTGGAGCTGCTCGTTCCCAGACTCCTCAGCCACAAGGATCTCGTACTCTTCAGCAGCATACCTGTCCCAGTCAGAAGGTTCAGGGCCATCGTTTTCAAAATCCTGAAGAGAGCAGGCAGTCAAGCACACCACGTCTGCAACTCTTTACAACTATGTTTACAGTGGGTCTCGTGTTCTGTAACTCCATGAACATGTGAACAGCCAGTTCTAGGAGTTGTCAGCGACGGTATCCAAACAGTCAAAAAATGTGTTAACTGAAAGGCTCACAATTACCCTAAATTAACATCTGCACTTTATGAAACACACAGACTACGCGCAGACTACAAAACTCAGTGCGTGACCTGACTTGCCAACAAATCAGTCCCCCTTCACTTCAGAAATGCTGAATAACTACTGGCAACCCTGCCCACAGCAGGGGTGTTGGAACTGGATGACCTCAAAGGTCCATTCCAACCCAAGTCATTCTACAGTATCTTCTGCGTATTTTCGTTGCTCCAGTTCACAAAGCCATGCATCTTCACAGTTTGCAATTGGTTAAAGGACTTAATTTGAAATCCTTAATTGTCAATTACAGTTGACCCTAACAGTTTGCTAAGAGGGGGAAAGCTTGAAAGGTTACAAAATAACATCTCTATAAACATTTGCCTCTCTGCCATTTAGTAAATTAGCCAAGGGAAGATAGGGGCAGGCAGGTGGGGCCAGGGAGCATAACTTAGGATGATCCTTAAAAAATAAAAACAGAAACCTAAAACATTAAATAGGGTGGTTCCGAATTTGGATATACTTAAGCCTAGAAGCACTGAACTGCAAAGTTCCTCATTCAGGTTATGCAGGAACCAGCTGGGAAAGAACCAGAGTTGATTTTGGCATCCGCACCACTTTACTGTACTTTTGACTGCATAAAAGCCTTCTGGGAGATAGTTTTTGAGCTACAGTCACATCTGTTTTCAGTGCATATGCAAGGGGAACCAGAGGTGAGGGACTTCACGCCAGCAACTGACAAAGCTCAGGTGCCAGAACACCCTACAGCTAGTGTAACAAGAAGTCACAGAAGTGACAGCCTTTTCTATGTTTTCTGTCTGGAGGGAGGATGGTGAATGCTGCCAGGCACAACCTGATGGAACACTGGCAACTCAGCAGGTGTAGGTCATTCTCTCTAGAATCACACACTGCACCACCAGTGCTGGTGCAGTAGGATCAGCTAAGGCAGTCATACCATAGAATAGTGGAATGGTTTGGGTTGGAAGGTACCCAGGACATCTCCCAGCTTCTGGTCACTTCTGGGTCTGCTGTGAGGTCCGATCAGGGAGTTCAAAGTCACATGCTGAAAACCTCCAAGGTCAGAATATTCACAAACTATTTAGGCAACCTGTTCCAGTGTCTGACTGCCCTAAGCATGAAAAAGGTTTTTATATATAGACCTTTATAAAAAGGTCTTTATATTCAGTTGGATTTTTCCTTCATCCAGTTTAATTCCAAAGACGAGTTTAAGAAGGCCTGTATTTAGAAATAGAAGTGATTTATACCTTTTGCACTGCAAAGGGATCTCTCTGTTCATTGTCCAGGTATTTCTCTAAATTGAAGAACGTGTTATAGAACACATGAGCCATTCTGCATCTCTTCAAGTCTCGCAGGGTTACTCGTCCTGCAGAAACAAAACAAACAAAAACCCACACATGATACTGTGCTGTTAAGCTTTTCCTTAGTGAGAAACTGGACCTGTTCTGGTCAGCTTTAAGGAAGTCTTGTTGCACCACTACGCTACAATATTGCAAAATCTCTTTCCAATCCTGACAAGAAGATAAACATTATTCAATAAATTGGTGTGTGTTAGTTCTAAATTTCACACACATCTGGAGGTAATATGGAGGTCTTTCATATTTATGTGAAATGCGAAAGAATGTGAAGGGGGATGGTAGTTTCACATCTATACTGTCAGTATGTTCCACAGCTGGACTATACAAGACTTGCTCCAGTGCCAGCAAGTTCATTCAAAAGGTCTTTCAAGTTTTTCAGACTTCTTTATGTATAACATTTTGCTGCAAACAGCCATAATGTTACTGTTACTCTGTACAGTAATTCCAGCCCTGTGATTCTAACGCAAGACTCTATCCACAAACGGGTTTCAGGGTAACATTACTTTCTCAGTCCACCACAGATCAAAGAGCATGGAAGCCCCATTAAACAGAATGTACCTTCTCTCTCTGGCTTAACAAGATCGAGCATCTGACACAGCAAGTCCTGAAATGGCAGTGGTTCTATGCCCATCACTTCCATCCGTTCACACTGCTCCTCATAGAAGTATTCCAGTTCATACATGGAGAGCACCCCGTCCCCATCCAGGTCCATGCAGCGAAACCAGTATTCAATGCTAGAAAAAGAGACAGGATTAGTGAAAGCACGGTGACTGCATTAGAGAATCTCTACTGCAGCAATGCACATTCCCCTTCCCCAATTCTCCAGTGCTCCTCTTCACCCAAACGTTGGCATAAATCTAGGCACAAAAATAACCTTTGGGAAGGATTAGGGCACAAGCCAAGGCTCACCAGTGCCACCTGTTAGTTCTGTTTTAGGTGACTTGTGAGCACAGCCACCCTCACGACCTGTTTCACCAGGTAGCTCTAGCAAGTGCCCAGTGTGCACTGTCAAGTGTCTCACACAGGCTGTGGTGCTCCTGCCCCATTCAGCATCAGAAGTTAGCCAGATACAACCAACTCTGAAGCCAGGACGCCAGTTATCCCATACTCTTTTATATCAAAGGCAGTGTTTTAAGGCAGCTGCACTCTACATCCTACCTTCACCTCTAGATGGTCCAACCATGGATTTGAGTTCCTTGCCCTAATAACTGCATGCAGATCTAGTTCTGCTCTGCACAGCAGTCTCCTGCTGGCTGCACAAACCAGGCAGGTGGGTAGGTTTTACTAAGAGACTCATCTCCCTACAAACCCTTCTTAGGAACTTGCTACATGCATAAAGGAAGCGTTCCTACCAGCTGCAAACATCTCATGGGTTTACCCCAGAGCCAGGGATAGGCCAGGAAAAGTAACTGCAGCCCTTGCTATTGCTACACAGACCCCCTCTGAAGTGCACCCAGCCCTCATAGCATGGTTGAGATATCAGTTCACACGGCCACAAAGCTGCAGCCATGTGAGATGAACTCTGCCCACTACACAGGAGCTCAGTGCTGACAGATGGTATCTACAGCTGCCTCTATAAAAAGGGCCAGGGACCACCCTTGTGAGAAGCCATCATCCAGTCTGTAGTCAATGAGATCAAGACCTACAGGGAAGTGTGATGGAGACAAAGGGGGAAAACAAACAAATTCAGTTTTTATGCAGCTCACAACTGCTCTCCAAGCAGTTCCTCACAGTGGTAAAATCGCACTAACTTCATGAGCATGGGGGAACCAAAGTGACTGATGGTTACCCAAGACACTTAACATTAAAAGGAAACTCTCCCTCTAAGCAATTTCTCCTCAAGAAAGGAAAATTATTTGACCAAGTATTGACAGTAAGCTGTCTTCTTCCTAATAATCATGGAAACTCAAGCTGCTGTCTGTTTGAGAAAGCAATAAGTCACAGAAGTTTCTAAAATCCTATCTGCTCATCTTAGTACTTTTATTAGGACACAGAAATCAGTCAAACCTTGTAGGATTTCTTTTGTCTTCCTCTGAAATCAGCAGCCACACAAAATCAGCATAACTCATGCGGCCTTCCTTCTGAACTTCATTTCCCCTGAAAAACACACCCAGAAAAAACAGGCCTCTTAATACTCAGAATGTTATCAACACAGTTTTTAAAAAGCCCCAAATCACTTGTAAGAGAAAATGGAAACATGACTGCCCGCTCAGCCTGTACTCCTGCACTTCCTGGCAACAATCCTCCTGTCCTTCCTCCCAAGCACAATGCTTGCAGCCTGGATGTCACCGCAAAGCTGGGGCTCACCTGCCAAGTATCCTCACACAGCAGCTGCTGGGCTGTGCTATTTTTCTGAGGCTTTGCATCAATGCTGTCCAGCTATCCCTGTGCCACTGTTGGGCAAAAATACAGTGTCTGTATGCTCCCACGGGCTATGCCTGTTCTAAAATATTTTCTACTACGTGTTCTACAAAGATGTATTTAAGTGATCATCCTACAGCATTTTTTATTTGCTTTCTAAAGATACCACCAAAAGTGCCACTCAATTTTCAAGCAGCTTCAACTGAAGCATCGTGTTGGAAACCATACTCTCAGAAATTCCCACTGATCAGTATCTTGAATTTCTAATCAGCCTGACAGAAATTCACTTCCATTCCCAGCCAGCATGCTATTCCTCACCTCACCACAGCACCGCTGAATATTCGCTCAATAATCCTGCTTGATAGAGCTGGAAACAAAGGAAATAGATAAAATGAAGCAACAGGTCACCAGAATAATGACATTCAGTTATTTAAAGTGAACTCACACAAAGTGATTTCCCACCACTAAAACAAAGCTCTACCTACACTGTCTGTCTAGATACTCCACTGCTCTCTGTTTAGCAGCACTCAGCTAAAAACAAAGATATGCCTGCCTTTGTATCCTACCAAACACTATTACTTCCTCTCAAATATGGCCACCACGTGTGATCTGGATTCTTGCAGTACATCTTCCAGTATGGGCAGTATTACCCCTAGTTTGCTGCAGTAGGACTAATAGAAGGAGACTACTTCAATATATACTGCAAAATTAGTTCAGCTGTCAAGCAAAAATCACATCTCAAATCCATACAAAAACATTTCTAAGCAATGCACGAAGTGTTGCAATCCCCTGCTTCAGGGAAGGACAATGAAAAACAAGCATTATTTCAAGTGAGTTGAAGGGCTTTGCCAACCAGGAAATGTGTGGGGCTGGTTGCTATGGTAGAGAAGCACCAACCAAGCAATAAGTATCAGTCCTGGGCAGGACTTCCACACTAACCTCACATTGCAGACCACTGAGACACTTCCTTTAGACCTGCTGCTGCACCACTGTACTGAAAACATCTCCCCTTCACCCTGCCCACAGCACTCCTCTCTTCAGCTCCCCAGCACTCTGCGCTCTCGTTTCCTGTGTAAGAGGTGCTCCATTTCCACACTGCACCCTCCCCAAAAGGACCCCAAAAGGTGATTCTGTGATTCTGTGACCTAGTCCCCATATAACCTAGTTAGGCACTCCTTATCCTCAGCCCATCCAGGCCTCTCAGCAACCTCCTGACCCGCTGTGACTGCCAGAATCCCCATGGCCTTCTCGTAAACGCTGCCACCCCAAGGACATGGGCCACCACAACACACAGATCTACAGTCAATCCACACTCCCTTCTTTCTTTCTCATTTCAGCCCTCCAGGATCTTGACCCCTACAAAATGTTGTGTCCCCTCCAGATCTCCAACAATTCCTCACAATTTGTGATACCTCCAGACCCCTGTAACTCTATGCACTGGAACACCTTCCACCTCTCCCGCTACCTCCAAATTACATGTTGTGTCTAAATATCCCATTTTTCCAAGCCTAACTCTCTATCCTAAAACTACTTTCCTAAAAAGTGTGGTAAACACATTGAAGAATTCAAGACAGCTTTATCTCCAGAGTTAAAACATGCTGGTCAATAGCTCAAGCTCTTGTCCAAGACACTAAGTCATGAATCCTAACTGTAAGCACATGGGCATATCGTGCTCCAAGAACACAGATAATCTTCAACACAGCCCCCTTCTGACTGGGTGCCTCCGTCCAGCCCAGCCAACAAACCATACAGAACAGCTCACACATACAGTGACTATTTTCTAGCACGCTTTCTCAGCCTTCCAGAACTTGCAGAGCAAGGACTTCCTGAGCCAGAGGAATTGCTTTTGCATTATTCACCCCTTCGTGGATTTTTATTCCATTAATTTATCTATGGCACTTGAGCCTTTGAAAAATTTAGGATCTGCTCAACTTGTGGCAAAGTGTTCCAGAATGAACTCAAAAGATAATCCCCAGATTTCATTTGCAAACCAAAATTCATCAACTTTTGCTGGATTCTGAAACTTCTCTCACCCAACAAGATTGCAATTTGGCAATCTTTAAAGTTCAGAGAGGCTTGGCCTTCTTGTTCATACTTCAACTACCTGCAAAACCCTCAGCAAAAAAAAGAGCTAGTTTGAAAGCATTATTAGCTAGTCCTTCTGGCAGCAATCCACTGAAGCTATTCATGAGGAAAACAGCATCTGCTGCATTTCTCTGTGTCTAAGCCCCTACAAGTAAGTCTGTAAATCAGCATTTGTTTATGAGAAGGATGCCTCCATTTAAATTTTGTTGAGGTGTCAAATTAACTAAATTAAAGACTTTACTTTTTATTAGGATCATTCTATTTTCAGCAACCACTTTCCTCCCACCATAGCTTGCAGGCAGCATACCTTGATCACTGTACCTAGCCAGGTCCTTCTGGCTGATATAAAGGTCATGGTCAGTGTCCAGCTCCCAGAATTTACAGTATATAACATAGAAGTGCTCGTAGGAGAAATAATCTGTGATTTGATTTATGTCATCCTCTTCTTCCAAGAGAGCAAGAGTCTGAAACAGTATAAATAAAGAGGGAAGTTAAGCCTAGACAAAGAAGCAATTTAACAGCTTGAGTCCTCCAACCTCTATAGAAGCTGGGCAAACACAGCTCTGAGAGCTAATCCAAAACGTAGCCCTTCCTCACTGTAGGAGATTTTGTTCTTGCACTTGATGTTTAACAGGCAGTTATAAAGCATCTGGCTTGAACATCTTGGTTAGCATATGTGCACAATACTTTTGCCAATCCCGTGAACAATTCCTGTTAATTTTCAGCCATAGCAAAGAGTCATGCAGAAGATTGAGACAACTGCTGTCTCAGCTGGGATCCATTATTTGTGAACCATCTCTGACCTGTACTAGAGGCTCCTAGAGCCATTTACCACAGCAAATCCACAGGAACTGAGATGCATCTTGACACTGCACTTGCTTGGCTCCTGAAGCAAAAGATCAAGTCTTACTCCAGACTCACACCTGGAATGGGGAAGGATCAATCCAGGCAAATTAAACCAATCACATTGATCTTCCTGGCCTGCTGCTGACAGAAATCAGTCTAGTTTAACTGGAAGGCTCGGGGAGATCTTCAGCCGTGATTTCTGTTACCATATCCCACTATGAAACATTTAGCAATTGTTTTATTTCCACTTTACGCCTACCTCTGTCCTTCCCTCCTGTGGCAGAAGGTATCTCACCTTTATCTCCATCTGCCTTTCCCTGAGCGCTGCAGCCAGAGAACAGCAGATAGCCTTCTCAATCCAATGAATCAAATCAAACGAGCTACGGGTCTTATCCTCCTCTGCCCTCACAAACCCTCAGAAGGAGGGACAGTCCCAGAGCTGTCCCAGGCAGCTGTGTCCCTAAGACAGCAGGCCTAGTGGCAGTGGCAGTGAATGCTGATAGTTCACTGTTCTCTCTCCAACATCTCTATATCCTAGGAAGCTAACTGAGCCAGCGCAAAACTCACATCCCGTTAACCATCAGATTCAGTAAAATGTCACACAGGAACAACAGAGCAGCAGACCTACCAAACTATTCTGATTTTCTGACATGTAAGTCACCTAAGACTTAAGACATGTCTGAACACTCACTCACTAGCTTCTTGGGTCTCTTCGTGCCTTTGCAGACAATAAACACTTGAGGAGGTTTTTCAAGAACTTTTTAAATAGCTCAAGTCAAAATATGCCATTTACACACACAGCAAAGAGCTGTCTCAGCAAGTCATGGTCCCCAAGCTGAACTTCCCTGCTGCAGAAGGTGAAAATCAGAGTAGCTATACAAGCAGAAAGAGGTGAACATATTAACGGAGAAAAATGAGTGAACAAAGATGTAGTATAAGTTGGAAGGATTGGTTAACAGCAGATGGTAGGGAAGAAGGCTTGGTCTGGCATGAGACAACCTAAGCGAGCACTGATTATTAGTTGATGTGACAAGTAGGGCAGAATAATCTGAAAGGAGGAGTATGTTTCATGCTTGAGGCTTTTGAGAAAGTACACTACATCTAGACAGTGGGATGCAACAGGGAAATCTCACTGCCTTAACTGATTTACCACCTCGACCTTTCAGCCTAAAGGCTTCTGGCTTTTTAGGCTGGGATGGAATCAAGCAGCCTTAGACAGTCGTAATCTGGTGCTCTTTTGAGTAAATTATACAATGAACAGAGATCTTCATCCCAAAACATCCACCCACCATTCCCTGCTCCAATCTATCACAGGAATTGTAACTAGCGCTAAACTCGACAGCTTTTCTGGAGAAGTTTACTGCACAATTAGAAATCAGTACAAACCAGGTGATGCATCCTGACATGCTCTGTCTTGCAACTGCATGGTGCAGTGTCCCTGACCAGCTGGCAGAGGACTGATTGCCAGCTGAGCCAAGAAACTGGCTGTGCTACTCACCACATATCATAGTCCATTCACCAGCTATTCTTGGCTGCTCAGTGAGCTACCTAACAGAGATAAACTGTGTCTCTTGTTTTCCTGAAAGCTAGATCAGGAGCTAAGAGCCAAACTGCCAGATGCTGTTTCAGAGTTTTGAACGTACGCCTTCAACTTCTACTTGCTGCAATCTTGGCTGCTCTGATCCTTGGTCTTCTCTCATCTTGACTCTGAAACTCCTCCTTCACCAGTTCTGCCCCTATCCTGGCATTGAGCTGGGCACTGAATTTGCCTTACTACAACCCCACTGAACAGTACACAGGAATAAAGGAATCAATGCATTCTATATCTCATTCAGGTAGAAACCAACATACTTGCAAGAAGTTGCTTTTCCTCAGCTCTGTTAGGGTGATCTTCCCAGACCAGGATCGATTGACTGTGTAGAATATTCTTTGTATAACCTGCAAGACAAACAGCTTTCATTAAACCAACTCCTTGAAACAATCAGTTAGGGAGCTGAAATGGAGTAGCTTTATTTGGATTATTCACTCATCCCAAGGAGACTTCTTACTGAAAACTTTCTGTTGTTGTTGTTTATACTATTATTCTTAATTACTAGGAGTCTGAAAGTTACATTTGTTTCTGAAACAGTATTGTTCATTTCCACTCTGCAACTATTTTCACAGTTCTTAATTAATCTTTGAGCATGTAGTTTTATTATTTAAGTGATATGTTCAAAGTGCTGACAAATCGCTGCACATTTTTCAGGCTTCAGGCACTGCAGCTTGCAAGGACCTCAACTGATAGTGCTCTGCACTTGTGAAAAAAGAAATCAGGACTTCAGAAGAGGAAATAGGACATGCAAATGAAATCCACAGGTGTTGTCTGACCTATTGTGTCTGTAACAATACCTCACCTTCTTGGTGGCTCCACTAAAAATAATCAATAGAGATTATCTGTCTGCATTTGTCTTAGGGATGTGTTTACATCATTCATCTCCTTCACTGTTTCTCATAAAAGGGAATAAAGAGCATGGTGGGGAAAGCACACAGCTCTGAGAATCCATGAGGAACAGTACACAGCATGAGAATGAGTGCTCACAAGCACCTAAAAAAGCAGGCTGAACTATTTATTCCTAGTCCACTCCTTTTTAGCACATCAAGTATTGCAGGGCAGAGAAAATGCAAATGTGTGATCAAGAGCATGCAAGAATAAACATGACAATGTGAACAAGAATAAATATCAATAACACGACATCTTCAACATGAGAAATTAGAAATGTAGTTAATGACTATCAGTACTGAAGCCTACAGAGCACAATCCTTGTAAATGAAATCTAATACAAGCTGTTGATGTCTCTGACATGTTGACGTATTAGCCTAGGATTTTGGTAAGTCTTAATAGAACATGCTACTCCAACATAAAAGCTAAATTTACAAAACATGGATATTGTAAGGATACAGATAAGACTGTGATGGGTCACTCTGAGCCTAAAGCGTAGCTGCAAGTGGGCAAGGACCATTTAAGGACCATGCTTTGACTCAGACAGACAAGGGCAGGCTTCTTAGTCCAGAACAGATTTGGAAACAAGTATGAGATCATTGCTAACACTCTGCTTTGGATACGAAGAACAGTGAGACAATAAATGCTGATGAGTCCAGACAGTTTAGGGAACAACAAGCATGATTTGAGGACTCAGAATTTACCCTGAAAAGAGAGAATAGTCAACTCAGCTTACCATGATATCTACTGGTGACTATCCTACTCCTTAGAAGCCAAAGGGGGACATGCAGGACAGCAGAAGGACTTTTTGTCTCTCAAACTAGATATCTAGAGGATTTTGTCTTATTTATTTAAATAAACACTGCCAGTTATTAACCACTGGGACAACTTGCAGAGACACGCTGTGGGCTCTTTACCACTCCAAACATCAATCACAGACACTTTTTTTTTTTGAAGTTGTGCAATAATTCAGTCAAAAAGAAAATTTATCCTAACTATAGCAATCCCTGAGCAATGTTCTGTGGTCTATGTAGTGCCAGAGGTCAGTCTAGGGAATCACAATGGTCTTTTCTGGTCTTAAACAATTCAAAGCTGTGTCTTCCTTCTTCAATGTTGCTGGCAACCATTGCCATTCTGGACTATTTTTGAACTTTGAGCTTTGCTGCCAGGTTTTACCAGCCAGTTCAGAGACTGAAGTGTCTCACCTCACACACGATCCATTACCACACCTCTCAACTCCAGCAGTTCACAAAGATACAGCCTTTCCACAACATTCCAAGGACACAAACAAAAATCTCAAGATAGAAAAAAAACCCCTAACTAGCAGTCTTTTTCTTTTCCCTGCCTGCTGGGTAATAGCAGACAGCAAAATATCCCCCTTAGTGACTCAAGGAAACCATTCCTCTGTCAGATCATATTCATAAAGATGCACCCTCTGCTCTCATCTCATCAGCTGTAAAAATAAGGCGTAAGGGGAAAGATGGGATCTCTTTTCACCTCCTCTTTACTGTATCCAGTCACTCAGTGAAGGCTTTATTATTCAAATAATGGTAGTTTTGGTGAGTATTAAACTGCATGTACACGTACACACACAGTGCCTCCACTTCTCTCTTTTCTAGGTTATAAAGACAAAGCTGTCAAAAAAAGCATTTGGGAAATATCATAGGACATTATAATAAAACTGACATGATTTGCAGCACTCAAACAGCCAGTGTCTACTGTGATAGAAAATTAATTCCTGTGGCCTGCCTGCTTTATGTTTCTCAGTTAGAGCACCTGCTGCATGATTGCATCTCCACTGTAAGCTTAGAAACCAAGCAAGAAACTGGCCTCAGGCCCAAGTTGCTACAGGCACTTCTACTCAGCAGCTACAACCTTGTGCGCTGTGCTCTGGCTCCCTTCTTCCTGGCATGGAAGTCTGTTTATTCTGAATTGAGTACATGAGCCTTTGAAAGGGGGAAGCTCCTTCCTTATTTGCCCAGTACCATCATGTAAAGTATCTCCAGGTCCAGAACCATTGATGGGTTAGTTCCAGATCTTTTCCCATTATCCCCATAAAAGAAAAACAACACAATTTTGAGGGGAGGGGGAAAGAGGGAACAAACAACACAAAAAAAAAAAACCAACCACCCAAGTCTTTATTAAATCCTGTAGACCATCTTCACTTTCCACATTCACATGGGTAATACTATATAAGCTGAACATTTTTCACCAAGCAGTAAGGTTTGATAATTTGTTTTCAATTGACACAGATTTTTAACAACAACAATTGCTAACACTGAGCTTTCTTTGCACATTCTGGAAGAAGTGATGTTAAATGTCTCATGATATTCTGCATCCTCTTCATCGGTTTCAGGAGTCTACCTCTGTTAAAAGAAATAAGCAGTTTAGTATACTTTAGAAACAAATAGTTTGGCAATACAACAGGTCAAATACACTGATGCAGGTTACATAAAGGCTAGTGTATCCAAAAGGCATCTCTAAAAGGCATGGAAAGAAGTAAAAAATAATGAAACATGCAAACACATCCATTGTTAACTTACTCTCCAGGTGATTTCAACCAAGTGATGCCATATTCAATAGTGAGCAGAAAAGCCAGTGTTTCTTTATGGGCCCCAATCTGTAATACAACAATGAAATGTAACTCTTGCTCTTGCAGCAGATATAGCACTATCACTATAAATAAGTGCAAGGTACTCTACCTTGAAGGGAATGAAAGTGTCCAGGCAGTCTCAAAATCCAAGGACAAAGCTGTTTCCTTCATTACCTCCTGGTGGAAATACTCAATTTCATGGCATTAAATACAGAAGTGCCGAATTATTCATGAACAGACATGTGAGAAATAGGAATTCCTGCTGTCAGAGAGGAGAGGCTCTATGCAGTGGGCCACGTATTGCCACTCCATGTGGGACCAATCTGACCCAATAGACTTTGTGTCTCCTTAGGTCTTGGACTCTGCTCCAGCTCAGTGATCCAGCCAAGGCCAAACACAGAGCTCAGGAGGAATCTGTCAGAAGAGACACCCAAAACAGAGTTGTTCTGCAAGCACGAGAAGTCTGTGAAGGATGTCACAGCTTTATAAGATTCGCTGCCACACACTGTTCACTTCAAACACCAGCACCATCATTTCCTGGGTGCCGGAGAGAAAGCTTAGGAAGCCACTGTTGTGAACAGTATTACACACAGGGGTGTCTAAAGGCTCTCAGGCTGAAGTAAGAAAGCACAGAGGAGATGAACAGAATCAAGAAGCACTGAGAAGTTTCATGTACATGTGAAAGATCTTCTTCTGTGCCCAAATTTGGCGGTCATACAGGACATAGTTCATCCAGGTTCAAGGGACGTTATGAGAAAATAAAGAAAGGAAGGAAAAGATTTCTCTTTTTAGTAGTAGCCTACATTTCAGTTACCCTGAAGTGCAGCTCTCTCTCAGAGCAGAATCTCTAGATCTCACACAGCACCTGGTGAGATCTAGAAATCACAGCAATTCACCCATTCGTGAGCCTTCATGATCACCTGGACATTTGTTACACCTACTCTGACCAGGTACTATGCTCAACAAATCTGCTGCCTCGCTCCACAGGGACTGAAGATGCTGATAATAATACATTGACATCCACCACCACAGTCAAGAGTGCTTAGACATTTGAAATTGTCTCTCGTTACACAGATTCACAAACACAGGATATGGCCGAAGCAGCAGAATCCCTCTGCCATCTGCTCCTTACAAGAAAGGGATAAGTCAGTGCCTGCCACTAATCTCCCAGCTGCTGATATGTGGTGCAGCAGGCCCCCACAGAGAGCCTGACAAGCCAGTAAGAAAAGCTCTAAACCCAGCTGAGATGAAGCTCTCCTCAGGCCCATTTTTATCTGAGTTTATTATCATTGCAGAGATCAAACATTCTACACTTATATCTTTTATCCACATTCATACCCAACACAACACAGGCTTAAAAAAAAGTACAAACTTTTTCAGGTAAAGCACAAGTCTAACGTCTGACTGCAGAGTTGGAACAAAGCTACAGATCTACCAGCAGTAGTCACAAAAAAATCAGTGATTCAGAAAGACCAGAGAGATGTTCTGGCAAGTGAGATGCAAGAGGGTTGGACAACAGTGGATGCCTTGTACCATGGAACAATCAGAGACCCCACGCCTAAGTGACAGAAATCTTCAAACACGTGGCTGCCCAGGCCACAGCAGCCCTGCAGTGTTAGGGGTAACTTAGTAGCTCTCAAAGACCAAAGAAGGATCACTCCTATTTTCCTCCAACATAATTAAAGGCCAAAATTGTTTCAAAGATGTGTTTAAGACCAGAAAGAATCATCACTACCCTTGTGAATGACCTCTTCTACACAGACTGATTATTTTTTTGTTCTGAAGAAATTCTGAATGTAACTTCCTACTAGCGATATAAAAAACATGTATTTTTGCAGTAAATTAATGATTTGGGAATAGTGACAAATAACAAAAGGAGGATTGGTACAGCACTGTGACAGGAGATGAAACAAGCAGCCTACCGTGGTGATGTACCGGGAATGGAACTCTGGAGCATCCTTTAGGAACGTCAGACCAGGGTGTGTTTCTACCACGTCCTGCAAGATAAGACCAAATAAAATGAAACAGAGTTCCTACTCCTTTTATTTAAAGTTCAGATGTTGCTGGGTTTTGTTTTGTTTTACAAACCAATACTTTTGCTTACTTGTTTTAGCATTAACAATAAAACTGAAATTATACCTTTTAATCTATGAAGTGAACCTTCTAGAAATACAAGTACAATACATTTTCTGGGCAATACGCACCTGTTGGGCCATATTGATTTACTTAAGGACAGAAAAACAAAGGAAGAGAGTTAGTGAGTGGATGAAAACTCATTTTTATTGAATGAGATACAAAATCAGTTAGTTGACCATGCAACCACCTCTTCTCCAAAAACATTTTTTCCATTCATTGAAGATATTGGTATTTGTTAGAGCTAAGTGTCAGTAATGACAGTAAGTGTCAGTAATGAGCGCCCTGTGAAAGGCTAAGAAAGTTGCTTTTCACATCCTCCTCATCAATGAAAATTCATGTGAACCCTAGAAAGCAGACAGACATCAGTGCTTTCCCAAAATTGACTTGAACTATACGTGGAGTTTTACAAGGTCCGCTTTTTGTAAGTGAAATACTCACTCATGATGTCAAACCTACTAAAAAATGCATGACCAGACATATACAGAAATTGCTTGGATCTTGAGTCAATCAGCTCAGATCTTCTGTGTATCAGAATGTCTGTGTCATTTTACACGTCTGACTCATCTGCTCTTTAAGAGGTGTTCAGAATTTTGCTGTTTATACCATGCTGTGGCAAAGGGACAGAGCTGATACAGTGCCCTTAGGGGCACAGCATGGCCAGGTTTTGGGCAGTCTAACCTGATGTCTAATCAGGTCTACTATGATGGTGTCATATGGTGTAATACTGCTAACATCTGGTTGAATGACAGACAAGACTGTACATGTCTTTGGATGAACCAGTAGCTAGGAAGCAGAGCTGCTATCAGTCAGGAAAGGCAGTATGCTCAGTGGAGAAAAGGTGAAAAAGAACATCAGAAAATTTACCCATTGCAGCCCCAGTTAGGCTTGTTTGAGACACACAAACATCCAGCACAAAAAAAAAAATCTTTCCCTAGCAAGGCATCTATACTAAGATTTTGCAAAGAGGGCAACAAAGTGTGTTAAAGTTAAGGACATTATGGAATAGTCTGGGAAAAAAAATAAATTATCAACAGATGATAAGAGAAGCAGATGGACCTGATTTACAGAGAAACTGTAGAAGAGCTAAATCTATCCAGAGTCTGCATAAATGGCCAGAATACTTTGCTTTCATAGTTACTCTGCTAAAAATATCACATCTGAATTGAAGGGAAAGAAAGAAATGCAATAAGATGCACAGACTTTGGCCTGCCTACTAAGAAGAAATGAAGGTGCGACACAGACATTTTGCCTGAATATCAGAAAACAAGCAGCAGTGTAACTCTGCTACTAACAGGTACAGAGATTGCACACAGGCCAGTGGGAACTGCAAGGGTATTTTTGTACAGATTTCCATGGGATACTTTATAGACTATTATACTGATAGTCTGGCTAGACAAATTCAATTACATGCTCTCTAAAGTAACCCTCCCAGACACTGTTCAACCATAGGTCTGCATGTTTTTAGTAAACATTTAAAGACATGAGAATAAAGAAGTTAAAAAAAGCAAACATTTCCCCACTCTCCCCATCACTTCACTGCTGAGTGCAGGTACCTGAAGCAGCGGGATGAAGTCCTCCTGCTCAAGGTAACCACAGCTGGGCTTTGCTACAAGGTAAGCAAATCTGGATGCGTCATCATGGCAGTTACGTAAGATTCTGTGAGGGAGATGAAAAGTTACTTCAACTGCTTTGCATCTCACAGACAATCACAAATCACAGCTAGATGATCAAGTGCCTTATCACATGTTATGCAATACATCTACAATATGCATTATGCAAAGTTGACCTCAATACTAGCATCATCTTCAGCATCTCCTGGCAGCACCAAGGTACTTCTGCTCAGTGGAGATTTTTTCACGTTAACATTCCTGTGGAAGCAACATATTTCTTTCTGACGACTCCTATTTTGATTCAATGGCATCTTAGGAAGAAACCTGACTTCTCAAAATGCTGCATGCTCACTGATCTCTTTTGAAGTCAACAGGACCAACCTAACGGTGCCATAGCAGACATGCATCCCAATTCAGCCTTTCACTACATTTCAATGTTTGAAGATACTGTGAAACTGCAGTGACTAAGTCTCAGACCTGAAAAATCACTCTCCAAAAGGAAAATGAGCATCTCTCATTAATTATGGCATGGCTGGTTGCTGTGCACACTAAGTTATGGAGAACAAAATTGCACCAGGGTAAGGCTGGGTATCAGGAAGAACTTCTTTACACAAAGGGTTGTTAAGCATTGGAATGGGCTCCCCAGGGAGGGGGCTGAGTCACTATGGCTGGATGTGTTTAAAAACCATTTGGATGTGGTGCTCAGGGACGTGATTTAGCAGAGGGTTGTTAGTTAGGGTAGGATGGTTAGGTTGTGGTTGGACTTGATGATCCTTAAGGTCTTTTTCAACCTGAGCAACTCTATGATTCTATGATACTCTGAAAGAACTAGTAGGGCTGAGAATTTAGAGACATGGAAATGTTGAAACACAGCACTGAAATGCCTCTAGTCCTCCTGCAGATATCACACTAACTGGCATGCCACTAATTTGGGTCTTATTACTCTTAATCATATGCAGATTTTACAAAAAAAAAAAAAAAAAAAAAAAAGAGGGTGGGGGGAACAGCTTTTAAGTCTGTAGAGAAAACAAGAAAGGGAACCAGTGGCTGACAATCCTTTTTGTTGGCTTCACATTCACATCATGCTGTCAATTAACAAATACATTCTGAATCAGCTGCACGAAAGAGGTGTTTTTTTATTTTTAAATCACACACAGAGACGAAGCCCAACGCCACGTTTTAACCCCAAACTAAAAGCACCAATTTTCAGAAGTACCACGCACACAGCAATTCCTATTGACTTCAAGGGAGACCGGTATGCACACAGCATGCTGAAAAGTCAGACCACTTACTAAGATGCTTAAAAATAGACTGAAACGATCACACATTCCTGTTCTGAAATTAAGGCTGCGTTCATACAGCTGTAGTGCAGCTATACAAAAAACACTACCTTTATTTCTGGGTATCATGTTTCCAGAGTTAACTGTTACAACCGTCAGAAGGAGGGACAAAAAAAAAAGAGTCTTTAGAGAGAAATCAAAGTGAAGAAAGCATTTTTAAAACAGCTTGGAAGCGGTGTGGATTAAAGGAATACAGAAAAGGAGCACAAGCACAGTTTGCAATAATCTGAAGGATGTGCAAATCAGTGGGAGCAAAAATGTGCTATCATACATGAGGGATTAATTTGGATTAGCTGGAGGAACTTCAGGAAGGAAAAAATGCTGCCCTTGTCAAGAAAAACTTACTGATCACAGTCATCCTCAGCATCTATGTAATTTTGCCAGGGTAACTTGGCTGTTTTGACAACACTGTCATAGGAAATACTTTGGAAACTCAGGATTAAAGACTATTTCAAGAATCTAAATGGTGAGCATTACGTCAAAAAGTAGAAGTATCTCTGGGTAGGAGGTGGAGATGTTGTTCAAGTGTTTCACAAAGATTGAATTGCCCTGGAGGAAGAAGATTAGGCAAGAGAACAGGTCTGCTCCACCTAGCACCTCTAACTCCAACCACAATACGTGCAAGAGCTTTCAATTTCAAAAAGAAGTTTTGACAGTGGTACGAGGAAACAACTGCCAAAACCCACACAGTTATTACAGAGTGTGTGTGAAGAAGGTAACAACTAGCAAAGCTGAGTTTGGCCTACTTGCATGGTGCTTTTACTTCACATTCCTTCTTCCTGCCCTGCTACAGGCTTCCTCTCCCCGTTCCCAAATCAGGCTCACTCAGCACACCAGTGCATTGTCAAGGCCCCAGATAAACATATCCAGGATTTTAGCAGCATTTAGCAGCTATCTTGCAGTAACTGTCATTTCCAGGAGTGTGTTAATATATTTTATATGTCAAACAAAACAGCATGTTTAATCATCTGTACAACTACTGTTAATTTTGCTGATGTACATGGCATAGCATCAGTGTTCACAGAATCACAGAATGGCCAGGGTTGGAAGGGACCTCAAGGATCACGAATCTCCAACCCCCTGCCACATGCAGGGCTACCAACCTCCACGTTTAAGTGTTCAGCAATTTCTAAGACAGGAAAAACAGTTTTCTAAGCCATTGATTTTTTCTAACAAAAGGGACAAAGCTTTCAAAAGAACGGTAGAAGAAGGAAAAGATTCTTCCAAGGCAAATTTACCTTCTTCTAGAAAAAGAATTCTACGTTTTCTATACTCACTTTCTCCACAAAGACACAAAGGAGTGCACAGATACACATCCTGTCCTTTGTCCTCCTGATGCACTGAACATAGGTGCTTTCCAGTAGAGTGGGCAGCCACATATCTGCAACAAAACACAGGAACAAAGAGAAGTCACACCGAATTGTTTATGTGCTGAAATCACCCTGAGCACTTTCACATACAGGAAATCAAGCAGTAATGGCATACAGCTTAGTCAAAAAGCTGTTTACTGTGTGCTAAGGTTCAGAATCCACCCTTATAGGCCTTTGTAAATACCTGAGAAATACATCCTGTCCATCCAGAAATGGTCAGACTCTTCAGAGTCATCTGTTCATCTTCAGAGTTCATCTGTCTTTGACTAAACTACTCTGCCAACTGGGTGAATATAGGAACCTCCAAAGGACCATCCATACCAGCACAAACACACCTGAGGACAGGATAATCCATTTCCCATGAGCTAACTTCTCATTAACAGTAAGGGAACTTCAATTCCAGTTACAGACCACAGAATGGTTTGGGTTAGAACGGGCCTCAAAGATCATTTAATTCCAACATCCCTGCCATGGGCAGGAGCACCTCAATTAGCAATTGAATGTCTGAATGTGAAATGATTCCAAACCCACAGTTATCAGTGCACAGCCTTCTACCCTGAGCAGCCCATTCCCAGCACTGCTAAATCTCAGCAAGAATATGAAAGCACAAATGGAAAGAGGCCAATTCCAACAGGACTCTCTGAACACAACATTCTAATTAACCACTGCATTAGCATTTCTACCTGGGTAGTTTTCAGAATGGTAATTAACAAACACGTCAGGATTAAGCCATTCTTCTGTCAGGTGACTGCATTTCCACAGGTGCTTTGCTATTCCAAGGAAAAAATAACATTTATTTTCTGCAGTTTTCTTTGAGTAGCTGGTTCTCCTGCATTTCCTTTAGAATCTCCAAACACACACCATTCCCAATAAGCCCAGAGAACAGCAGCAAGCCACAGAACAACTGAACGACATAGAGCACACCCATTTAGAGATGGTTGCAGAGACTAAACAGAAAGGCAAAAGTCTCTTCTACGCAGCTTTCCTGCTTTTCCCAGGTTGAATGTGACAAGCCACACACAGTTACCTGTCCTGTCATAAAATCAGTTTCAAAATTTATTTTGGTCAATCTAAGAAATTATGCTTTCAGTGATGGCTTACAAGTGTACCACTCTAAAAACAAACCTAAGCTTCCCTCTTAGAAAACAAGCCCTCCCCTTGAACAGATCATCACTGCTCAATCTATAGTGCCACAGATGCACTCACACACAGGACAAGCTGAACATATGAGGTGCATCTGACAACTGCCAGTCTTAGATTAGCATTACTAAAAACCACGATGGAAGAAGAGGAAAATAGAACAGCCCATCTGCATCGTGCTCCCACACAAGTGCTGTGTTTTGTTCTCTGAAGCCAAGAAATCACTAACAGACTGTAGCAACTCCAAGTCTGCTGACATTGTGGACATTAAACATATGCATCTCAGAGGCGTAGGGCTGACTAAGCATTTCCCTCTTCTGCTATGCCCAAGGTGGCATAGGTTGGAAATTCTTTCCCAAGCAATGCTGTTGCAGTGTACAAAGATCATGTCTAGATCAGTAGGACTGTTAGCCACAGAGAAGGTAACCAGCACTATCTGAAGCCACGGAGGCACTTTACATTTCTGCTATCTTCTATAACTATGGAGAAACAGAAAAACAAACGCGCTTTTTATTTGCCAAAAAGTCTGGAAGAATGATTTTGTAAATCTGAGTAAGATGGAGCACACGCATCAGTCATGGCAAACAGCAATCTTTTCCCACGGACAATTTCACTGAACTACTTTTTCTTAATTATTTTCCTAATCTAAAAGGAAGAAAAAAAACTCAGAGCAGAAGAATTTTGGTTTGTTTTTCACTGAAAAAAAAAATATATGGAAAGGAAAAGGTACTTTATTAGCTTTAGTTTCAGCCTTTCTCCCTTTCCAAGAAGTAAAGAAATCTGGAGAGGTTACCTTTGCAATTTTTCCCATTTCACAGATGTTGGCTTTCTCATCTTCAAACTCTGTGAAGGCTTCTTCAATCCTGGCAATGATCTCTTCATGATTAGTGCAGACATTGGGAAGTCCTTTAGGGAAGTAGAAACGTGGAATGTTTACGGACAAAGGGGTACTGCTGGTGGCTTTACTCACAGGCAGAGCACAAGGGCTAACCACTGAGTTCAAAGGGACTGGGGATGACGTTCCAGGTTTCTTCTCTTGCTTGCTTTGAACCTGAAAATACAATGAATAAATGTTTTGTTGGTTTTTTTTTTAACAGCGCGAAAAAGAAAAAATTTAAACCATCAGCTGAAGGGATAAAAATGTTTGTCTTAAACTACAAGTCTAAGAATCCTCACAATATCAAACACTGGTCAAACACACGTCACATCTAAGGCAGCTTCCACATAGTTTTCTGTGCATTCTGTTTGTAGCTGTGGGTTATAACACACTGTTTAATCACAGCAGAATATACTCTGCAATTCAGCAGTACTGTAGAACAAGGGCAGTGCTTGCTGTTTCTTCTTATGCTGCTCACTGTGTTGCCATTCTGCCCCACAAACAGACATTTCAGTATAAGCAGCAGAACTCAGACTCCAGGGATTAAAAGAACCATTCCTTGCCCCCCAATGAACACATGCTCTCTTGAGAAAAGCCAACAGAACTGCCTATTGCACAATGGTTCAAATGTAAGAGCTATTATTAATGTAACAACATATGTGATAAGAGGCTAATAAGGAAATAGTCAAGTAAATACAGCTGCAACTTTCAGTTTATTTACTCTAAACAGTTTAAAACAAAATTGTTTTAGGATATAGTATCCAAGACTGAGTTTATTAAATACCAAAGAATGCCTATGATGACCTGACTAAATTCCTTGCCTTAGTATTTTCCAGAAACTTGGAGCTTTCTCTTAACTCACACTGAAGAATCCATCTTGCCATGAGTTTGCTTCCAGGGAGATGAAGAAGTAAGAATTGTAAAAGCTTCCTTGAGCCACTTTCTCTGTAGTTTTTAAAACACTTTGTAATCTGTTCCCCGATGATCTGGAAAATCAGAGCTGGAAAGACTTTCTTCCTCTTCACTTCTCTGCTTCCTTTTAAAAAGGAAGGAGCTCTTCCTTCTTCCGAACATCCCATTTCAGGAACAGTACTACACATGAACACGTGCTGATACACACACGCCAGCCCAAGCACACTTCTGTTCTGCAACTGCTCTGTAGTTCTACATCCCTGCACTAACCTGGACTTTGGGGTTCCCGAAGTCCTCCTCCCCTCCCTTTACAAGAAGTCTCCAATCTCCAACTACTTGGGAAGTTGTTTTCTAAAGCAAGCCAGTGATTTGGGCAGCAGAAAGGCACAGCACTGTTAGTTTGTGCAGCCTGTCACACCCTGCCTGCACTGAGCAGATACAGGAGGCTCCCAGCCACGACCCAACTCTCAGTTGTTTCACCGTCCAGCTTCCAGCAGAGGGAAAAGCCATGCTGCTCTCTAACAATGCTGTATTCATACACAGCAGAGCTGGAACAGACATCAGGGTGCCATCTCCAGCCACTCAACTCCTACAATAGGACATAACAGGGTTTGTCTTGAAGACCCACTTCTCAGAAACAGGTTGATTGCTCATTAATCTCTCTGATGCAGACACGCACTCCTAGTTGCCAGGACTTCCACGAAATAAAAGGAACCACTCAAATTTACAAAAACGTCCACATAACACAAACAAAGAAACAGTGTTCTTTCAAAAGAGTCTTCACTTTAACAGTACGTCCTCATTCTCTTACAGTACAAGTGAATGATAAAATACTATTTTCTTCTTCGTAGGCAGATCCCCAGAGCATGCTGCCATAACAGCACTGTGTCATTTTCTTCCTCTTGTGTAGTGCACGTCCCACAGCACGCAGTGCGGGACTCCAGCTGAACATCCCATAACAGCGCATTTGCTCTGACAGCAAGCTTTGGCACCAATTCATGTTAGACGGGAGCCAGGCCCCCAGGATCTATGTGAATTTTCTGATGCACAACCACACAGCAATGCAAGAGGTTCTAGATAGGTCCATAGATCTATAGGACACATCGAGGGAATGCTCCTAAGCCTCAAAGTAGGAAACCTGTACAGACACAGGCTTGCAGCTGATCTTCCCAGAAAGGCTCATCAATAATCCGGCCCAGTCCATGGCACATGAGGTGGACACTGAGCTCACTAATTGCTTCCTTCTGGAAGGTTCTACAGCAGGAATAGAAAGAACGTTTTTGAACTTTGTCGCCTTCTTCTCATATAAGGAATGAGCTGTCTGCAACAAGGACAACAGGCACTAATTAGCTCTCAAGGATACTTCTGAGAATAATCTTGGGTTTTGGATTTTTTGTTCCTGCTAAAAAAACCAAGACTGTGTGAAAAAGCTTCTGGGATGGGTATATCCAGATGTCAACTGCTATGGACACAGCAGGGAGTCAGTGACAAATGTCTGTGAACAGCTCATGGAAAAAATAAAGGAAGCGATACGAGGGAGCTCTGTGGCACGTCCTTGGTAGGAAACAGTTCCTTATAGCACACAGTTCACCCAAAATGCTGTGTGATTAGTGCAGCATTTCTCCAGAAGAGAGGAGCGTTCTCATGAATGACTGCTAAGGAAGTAAACTGCGAACACTGCATAAATCTTTGCTACCAAGAGCTGATTGCCTATTTTTTTTTTTTTTAAATAAAGGAAAGCAACATCAAAAAAATGTTTTTAGTCCTGTTTTGTAGGGTGGTTTATGTTACCTGTAAGTAAAATCTGTCTATCCACTGTATCATCTCTTGCCAATCATACAATTTATTTATGGACAGGCTAAAACAGTGACATCTGCACTATAAATAAAGCAGACAGAAAAGCAGCCACACCGTAGCTACACAAACAAAGCAGAAAAGCTCTCCCATCGCAGTCTGTCTCTCAGGCAGCAGACAACTCCAGAGAGAAAGCAGTATCTCATTAAGTGCTGTAATATTTTCTGTTCTTTTCTCCTGGCCTTTAATCCCCACCAGGGTCTTTGAATTTACCAGTTATGTGTTTTCTTCCAAATATGATTCTCTGATCCTTTTTCTAGGGTACAGTGACTCAGCCTGGTTACTTGCAGTCCACAATGCTGACTTAATGTCTCCTTTCCTTTTTACTGTTCCTGTCTTGCTGAAGCCTGATGATAACTGGACACCGGCCATCCTCAGACATAATCAGTTCTCCAGAGCCGATTTGTATCAACAGCCCAAGACTTTCCCTTCTTTTCCTGAACTCCTTTCCCATAATTATATCCTTCTGCTGCCTCTTTCCCATCTCAAAGGCGATGAGAAAAAAACAAAGATTCTTATGCATATGACTGCCAGCATGATGTAGAAGCTATGATAAAGTGCATTTCTGGACAGATTTTTTTTTTCTACTACAAACTGTAAACTCACCAGCAGAAGCAGAGTCCCACTGCAGCAAAACAAACTCTGTGTAACACAGAACCATAAAGAACGTAGGTGGGAAGGGACACACGGCCAGCTCTAAGCCCAGATCAAGTTCCTGATGGCCTTATCCAGCTGAGTTCTGAAAATACAGATCTCACGCCTCCGCTGCTAATGTGCCTACAGATATTGCACTGCTCCTCCTGTGGCTGATACACTTCAGCTCAGAGCCCAAGTGCCTACTGAAATGGAAGATACAAAGCCACCAGAGAACATCTGCACTCAAAGGGACAACAGGGATGTAACCCCCTCTGCAGCTCTCCTCTGTCTCAATCTGCAGATGACACTTACCTAGAGGGAAGGTCAGCACGGAAAAAGGCAGAACCTCCGGCACAGGAGACCTCAGCAAACCTCCAGCTGCTTCCAGAAGTGCCAAGCCCTGCAGCTGGACACTGTAACCCCCAGCCCCAGCCGGGAATCCCCTGGCTGCACAACAGCCCTGCTGAGAAGGACATGGGGTGCACCAGGCTGAACAGGAGCCTGCAGCATGGCCTGACTGCAGATAAAAGCAAATGATGCACCAGGCTGTGATAGGAGCGATACATGGTGCAAAAAGTAACAGCCTTAAGTTGCAGATTGGGAGCGGTGGACAGTAGGAACCAAAGGTTAAGTGAGAGTAAAACAGCCAAGAAAGGGTCACTGAAAGGGTGGGGGGAATCCCCATGCCTGAGGAGCTTCCAAGACTCATCAAAAGCCAGTGCTGATGTGATCTAGCGTCAGTGATAGTCCTTCTATCCTCCTACATGCAAGATGCTGGATTAGAGGCCTCCAGAGGTCTCTTCCTACCATCATTGCTATGGAAAGCTCTCTGATCATAAAAATAAAAAATGCATTTCGCTCCTCAGCCTCTCTTGCTAACATCTACACGTGGCCATCTGTCACTCATCTCCACTCCCTACTGCTGCCTTTTCACCTTTCTTCCTGCAAGCACTTTTTCCTGTGCTTAGCAAATCCAATTACCCTTACTCTCAGGTCACCTCATGCACCCAGGTATAGCTCTGCAAGGCACAAAGATTAACATCTCCTTGCTGCCAAGAAGGAGAATTCCCATCTCTGTCCTCCACTCCTGAACAGATGTTGTTGCTGCTTAGCAAGCTTGCCAGACCCCTCTACAAACTGATTTAACTTGGAAAGGCAGAAAACAGACTTAGTGAGACTGGTGACACAATGAGAAGGATGCAGAAGGGAGCAAACGCTTGAGAGAGGAGGAAGCCTCCTCCCAGCTGCAGCTGCCCACTGCATCAGCATCTGCCCTGCATCCTCAGTTAGCCTCACTGCGCTCAGCCCAGACAGGACTCACCTACCAAAGGCTCACCACAACTTTTCCAGTTGGTCTACTAGGAGATCTGATCTCTCCCTGAAAACCACACCCTAATCACATCCTTAGGTGGTCAGACAAACACAACTAAGCCAATACTGGAGAGTGGAACATTCTTAGCTGCACTGCATGGTTCTCATTAGTCTTCTAAATTGCTCACGGTCCCCGCCCAAACCATTACTACACATCATTACTTCATACAATTCTCCCCTAGGGAGCAAAAAAACATGTTCCAGAGATTAACCTTATACACGCGCTTTAACCTGTCACCAGAACTCATGAAAAAACGAGCCTCATGCTACAGTAGACTGTGGAACTATTTTAATAGCTGTTTATTAGGAAACAGCTGCACCACTGATAATTTCCACTTTCTAACATTGTTACTGGGTCACCGTTCTGATGGAGATGAAGCCCTCGATGGGCAGATTCCAGC